ACAATTTTGGCAGCCTCTTTCTAGTTCTTATCAGAAATTTAAGAGCAGAGAATTAAATTCAAGTCCCGCATTACTAAGCTTTGTTATTTTTGCAAAGTACACATTGTACATTCAGTGGCACACTGCAAAGCATTATCATGAATTATTTAAATGAAACTATCCTTGTCACAATAAATGAGCAAAGCACATTTCGTTCATTGTCTCCTTGCATGTTGTCATTTCTCTTCACGGATTTCTTACTTTGCAACATTAACTAAAATGTGATAAGCCTTGCGATGCCATTGCTACAGACTACCCTACCTTAGTTCTGCTGCTCATGTATGGAAGGTTTTTTTTTTAATGTGACTGAAGCATTTTCCTTTCTTCTTAAGATCCATTATACTCAAATGTGTCCTTGTAGCAGCATAGAATAGGAACAAATATAAAATATGTATAACTGCAGTTTACTTTTGGAAGTAATTCATATTCAGTTCTCCTTTGCTCTGTGGGGATGGAACAATAGATGCTGTAGGGTGGGAAAAGAAGAGACACGAAAATCTAAAGCTACCGGGGCCCTTCTTTGGAAAGGAGGCTTCAAACATTTCTGTTTTGCTTCTTCTTTTATAAATCTATCTTATAATTCCAAGTAATGAGAGTAAATCTTACCTCAAAGGTTAGCAAAATGCCCCTGAAGTGTACCTCAGGCAATGAGGACAGTAGTTCATTAGAGATTAACTGTTCTTGGCATTGTCACAGTCTGGTTCAGCTTGAATGTTAATCTCGATCTAAGGAAATGACAGTTATGACCTGTGCTTTATCGTTGATACTGACAAGATCAAGTAACACTTCTGTCTGTGGATACTACATGCTACCCGTACAAGGCCCCACTTCATTCTTTGCCCCCATTTACACACACACACACACACACACATACTCTCACTCTCACTCTCTCTCTCTCTCTCTCTCTCTCTCTCTCTCTCTCTCTCCTCACACCAGCATGCCAACAGGTTCATTTTAGGCCACTCTGTTTTGTCTCAGAATGTGACAAGGCTACATGGACAGGGATCAAAAAACAGTAGTGACGTAAGGCCAGGGGAGGAGGAACACAGACAATAAATCAGCAATCATTAAAACTTGGAACTAAAGCAAACTTTAAAAAAATTTTTTTCTTTTCTTTTTTTTTTTTTTTTTTTTGAGGCAGAGTCTCACTTTCTTACCCAGGCTGGACTGCAGTGGTGCAATCCCAGCTCACTGCAACCTCTGCCTCCTGGGTTCAAGCAATTCTCCTGCCTCAGCCTCCTGAGTATCTGGGATTATAGGTGTTTGCCACCAAGCCTGGCTAATTTTTTGTATCTTTAGTAGAGACAGAGTTTCACCTCGTTGGCCAGGCTGGTCTTGAACTCCTGACCTCATGCTCTGCCTGCCTTGGCCTCCCAAAGTCTTGGGATTACAGCATGAGCCACTACACCTGGCCTAAAAATTATTTTAGCCACTTTAAAAAAAAAAAAAAAAAAAAAAAAAAAAAAAACTTTTCATTTTGCAATAATTTTTAACTTACAAAAAAGTTGGAAGAATAGTACAAATAATGTTTTTATCCCTTTCATCTGGACTTCCCCGTTTAGTTAACATTTTTGTAGTTATGGCCAAGCACAGTGGCTCACACCCACAGTCCCAGCACTCTGGGAGGCCAAGGCAGGCAGATCACTTGAGCTAAAGAGTTCGAGACCAGCCTGGACAACATGGTGAAACCCCATCTCTACTAAAAATACAAAGAAATTAGCCAGGTATGGTGGTGCATGCCTGTAGTCCCGGAGACTTGGGAGGCTGAAGTAGGAGGATTGCTTGAGCCTGGGAGGTGGAGGTTGCAGTAAGCTGAGATCGCGCTACTGCACTTCCCGCCTGGGCAACAAAGCCAGGCTCTGTCTTTAAAAAAAAAAAAAAAGTTAACAGTTTAATAGCTAACATTTTATCATTTTTGCCTTATTTAGAATCACTTGAGAGCACATTACAAACGTGACACCCATTACTTTAAGTGTGTCAATGTGTGTTTCCTAAAACACAAGGACATGCTGCTGAAAAATTAAAGTACATCCAGCATTACCAGAAATCAGCACTGATACAATAGTACATCCACCCGCAGACTTCATTCTCATATTCCTGATCGCTCCCGCAATGTCCTCTGTAGCCACCGTTTTCTTTTTGGACCAGAATTCAGCCCAGGGTTATCTACTATATTTAGTTCCCATGTCTCTCGATCCGCCTTTGATGTGGAGCAAATTCTCAGATTTTCCTTGCCTTTTATGTCTTGACACTTTAGAAGAGCACAGGCCTGCTGCTTTGTCAAATGACCCTCGATTTCTGGTTGGGTGACGCTTCCTCAAGATTATGTTCAGGTTATATTTCCTTGGCAGGAATAGCCCAGAAATGATGCTGCATTCTTCTCAGTGGACCGCATCGGGGGACATAGTGTGTCAATTTATCCCATAGCTGGTGATGACTATATCCCTTAAGATGATTATTTTGTACTTTATATTTGATAAACAACTTTAAAGTATTTGATTAATTTTAAAGTAATCAAAAACTATTTTAATCTATGTAAATATTCTGTTTCTTATCAAGCCTTCACCCCTATTTTAGCGATTCATTGATTTTTTTTTTTTTGAGATGGAGTTATGCTCTTGTCACCCAGGCTGGAGTGCAGTGGCACAATCTTTGCTCATTGCAACCTCTGCTCCCTGGGTTCAAGTGATTCTCCTGCCTCGGCCTCCTGAGTAGCTGGGATTACAAGCACGCACCACCACACCTGGCTAACTTTTGTATTTTTAGTAGAGACTGGGTTTCATCACATTGGCCAGGCTGGTCTCAAACTCCTGACCTCAGGTGATCCACCCACCTTGGCCTCCCCAAGTGCTGGGATTACAGGCGTGAGCCACTCATTGATAATTCTTATTTAAAGCAGTGATTTCCTAATTTCTGAATTCCTTTTGCATGTATTAATCGGTATTCTTTTGTGAGGTAGTTTCCTTCTCCGCTACTTACTTATTTATTCATTCATAGGTATGCTTATGTCAGTATGGACTCAGGGATGCCTATTTCATTCAATAGGCTATATTACATTCATTATTTGATACTCAAGTTATTCCATATTTTGCCAGTGGGAGCGACTTTATTAATAAATTGGCTTCTGCATTCTTTTAGTATGTCCATGATTCTTTAAGTATTTCCTTATTTTCTGGTGTCCCCAGATGTTCCAGACCCATCCTATACTTTCCTTGCCCCTGCCCTGGCATCAACCATTTCCCAGTAAGCTCTGGCTTATTATTTTTTTGAAATGGAGTTTCGCTCTTGTTGCCCAGGCTGGAGTGCAATGGTGTGATCTTGGCTCACTGCAACCTCCACCTCCCAGGTTCAAGTGATTCTCCTGCCTCAGCCTCCTGAGTAGCTGGGATTACAGGCATGTGCCACCACAACTGGCTAATTTTTGTATTTTTTAGTAGAGATGGTGTTTCACCACATTGGTCAGGCTGGTCTCAAACTCCTGACTGTGTGATCCACCCACCTCAGCCTCCCAAAGTGCTGGGATTATAGGCGCAGGCCACCATGCCCGACCTGCTCTGGCTTATTTTATTAGGGAATGGAATTGAGAAACCAAGATCTGAGTTGATGGTATGTTCATTGCTTCTGGGATGTCATTGCTGTTAGGTGCCCTAAGTGGAGATGAAATACATGTACACACGTGTACATATACAGCCATCTGTCTCTATTTGTATATCATTCATTTATATACATATTTTAAAACATGAGATTTTACAGTGATATCTCCAATTTCTCTCTAACTCCATCTAGATTAGTCCAGCCTTCCTCCTTTACGTATTTGTAGATCCTTTTTCACCTGGCTCCCAGACTCTTTAGATTTTTTTTTCCGCGAACCCCCCTGTAAACAACCAATCTTCCAGCCATTCAGAAGCCACCACCTCTTCTTCCTCCCCTTCTGCACATGGCTCTTGCCCTACTGAGTATCTCCACGCTCTTCCTGTGGCCACGCCAGGCTGAGCAAACCCTGTTACTGACCCGTAACAGCAGACTAGTTAGATTCTTCCAGACTAGACTAGCACACTAGAGCAGTCTCTTCTATACCTGCTACCCAATCAGGAGAAATGATTGGCATTTCAGAATATGGCCAGCTTTGTGTCAAAAGGAGGATTAAATAAATCACATAATATAGTGTGTTAGCTCCAGTAGGGAAGAGAATTTAGTCTTGTAATAGAAACAGCCACTTAAAAGGAAAAAGAAATTTATTCTAGAAGCACTGGTCTCAAAAAAAAAAAAAAAAAAAACATACACACACAAGAAAATCTCCATTAATATATCTTTGCTTTGAATTTCAACTCCATTAAAAATCTTGAGTTGTTTTAAATTGATAGTAAAAAGGTTTTATAGCCTTTTCTCTTGAAAATCACAGCAAACTAGATTTACTCCAAGATTTTTTTATTCCTGTGAATTTTAGATATTATTTGTCTTCCTTTTTATAATGAATAATTCAAAGTGAATGCATTTTTTTTTTTTTTTTTTTTTTTTTTGAGACGGAGTCTCACTTTGTTGCCCAGGCTGGAGTGCAGTAGTGTGATCTTGGCTCACTACAACCTCAGCCTCCCAGGTTCAAGTGATTCTCCTGCCTCAGCCTCCCGAGTAGCTGGGACTAACAGGCATGTACCACCATGCCCGGCTGATTTTTTTGTGCTTTTAGTAGAGACAGGGTTTCACCATGTTGGCCAGGCTAGTCTTGAACTCCTGACCTCAAGTGATTCACCTGCCTTGGCCTCCCAAAGTGTTGGGATTACAGGCGTGAGCCCTGTACCCAGCCTGAATATATTTTCTAAAATCTAGATTTATGTTTTTTTGGGATTTAATTATTTTTTATAGGTATAACTTTGGAGAAAGAACAATGACCAATATTTATCCTGGTTTTTTAGTCAATTTTAGACATTCGTGTTCTAAACTAAATTTCTCTTTCTTTTTAGGTTTGTCCAAGACTGGTTTTCAGAAAGGAAGCAACTGGCCAAAGTGGATTTCTCTACAGTGTTACCACGCTTCATTTCTCTATACATCTTTTCCTTTCTGAGTCCCAAAGATTTGTGTGCAGCCGCCCAAGTCAGCTGGGCCTGGAAGTTTTTAACTGAACAGGTTTATTACTTGTCACTTCCTAGTAATAGAGCACAAGTACGACTGTCATCTGTAATGAGGGTTCCAGGGTAGCTCCCTTAGGGTACCCGATCCATCATTAACTTACCCTTGAGAGAAGAAGTGGGGATAAGTGAAAAACAATAATGTATTTCTGAAAATAAAGAAGGAACATAGACTAGTCCAAAAATTCATGTTACTTTAAAAAATCTTTAGTCGGGTGTGGTGGCTCAGGCCTGTAATCCAAACACTTTGGGAGGCCGAGGCAGGTGGATCACGAGGTCAGGAGTTTCAGGCCAGCCTGGCCAAGATGGTGAAACCCTGTCTCTACTAAAAATACAAAAATTAGCTGGGTGTGGTGGCAGGTACCTCTAATCCCAACTATTTGGGAGGCTGAGGCAGGAGAATTGCTTCAATCCAGGAGGTGGTGGATGCAGTGAGCCAAGATGGTGCCACTGCACTCCAGCCTGAGCGACAGAGCAAGATTCCATCTCAAAAAAAAAAAAAAAAAAATCTTTAAATACTCAGAATAATTATTTAGAGAACATTTTATCTTGGTTAAAAAAGTTCACTTTTCTTCATGAAAATTTATTTGTGCTTTAGGTTTTGTATATTATTTTATCTCTAATAACTCAGCTCTAGAAACTGCTACCCGACCACCGCCTCACCTGATCCCTTACTGTCTAACACCTGTTAAAGAACACACATTGAGATCGGTTCACAGCAGTTGAAAGCAGTTCACAGCAGCAGCTGTTTAAGTGTAAAAAATAAACAACACAAACACATCTCACAAATCTTTTTTTTTTTTTTTTTTTTTTTGAGACGAAGTTTCGCTCTTGTTACCCAGGCTGGAGTGCAATGGCACAATCTTGGCTCACCGCAACCTCCGCCTCCTGGGTTCAGGCAATTCTCCTGCCTCAGCCTCCCGAGTAGCTGGGATTACAGGCACGTGCCACCATGCCCAGCTAATTTTTTGTATTTTTGGTAGAGACGGGGTTTCACTATGTTGACCAGGATGGTCTGTATCTCTTGACCTCGTGATCCACCCGCCTCGGCCTCCCAAATTGCTGGGATTACAGGCTTGAGCCACCACGCCCGGCACAAATCTTTATTACTATTGATTTATGTCTTCAATATTTATACGTAACCATAATTTTTTTTTTTTTCTGTAGCTCCTTTTCTTCTGTTCCTGCATCTCTGAGTTTCCATTTGGGATCATTTTCCTTTTGCATTCTATTTCATATTACCTCTAGTGCAGGTGTGCTGCTGATAAATTCTCTTAGTTGTATGTCTGAAAGTATTTCATCTTTATACTTAGACGATATTTTAATAAGAAATTTGAATTCTAGGTTGACACCTAATTTTTTTAACAGAACTTTGAAAATATTCCACTGATTTTTTTCTTGAGATGTCAGAAGTTTTATTGTTGGTCCCTCAAAGGTAACATTTCTATCATCTCTAGCTGCTTTTCAGACTTTTTAATTTTCAGTAATGCTGTTGTGATATACCTAGGGGCATGTGTGTGTCTGTGTGTGTGTGCACACATCTATCTTGTTTTGTGTTCTGCAGAGCTTTTTGAGTCTGAGACTTAATGTCTTTCATCAGTTTTGAAACGTTCTCAGATGTTATTTCTTCATATTGATTCTGCCCCATTCTCTTTCTCCTAGGATTCTAATACTTATAGGTTGGAAAGATTCACCATGTCCCATAACTTTCATATTCTTTTATACGCATTTTCCATTTCTGTGACCTTCACTATTTCAGTCTGGGTTTTCTTCAGACCTATCTTTCAGTTTACTATTTCTTTAGCTAGATTCTAATATGATCTTAAACCCATCCATTGAGTTATACATTTCAGTTATTATATTTTTCAGTTTTAGGATATTGATTTAATTCTTTTGCCAAAATTTTCTACCTAGTCATTTATTTTAGATATATTAATTATAGAGTATTTACTTCCCCAAAGTTCATGTCTGATAATTACAACATTTAGATTACCTGGGGATCTCTCTACAGTTACTAAAAACCAGAAAGAAGAAACAAAAGATTTGTGTCTATTGTGTGTTCTAGTTGATTTTGATTGAGTACCAGATACTGAGTTTACAAAATTGACGTGATCCTTTGAGTCTCTAGGTGATGTTATCTTCCTCCAGAGAGAATTTCCTTTTGCTTCTGGCCCGTCTAAATGCTAGGAACAGGTCATACAAATCCAGTCAAGGAATGAGATATTTCAAAGCTGAATTCAGTCTTTGTGAGAGTTTGTCTAATTCAGTATTATCCTTCCTGAAAAGAATTTTTTTCTTTTAATTCAAGACAGAGCCTTGCTCTGTTGCCCAGGCTGGAGTGCAATGGCATGATCTCAGCTCACTACAACCTCTGCCTCCTGGGGTCAAGTGATTCTCCTGCCTCAGGCTCCCGAGTAGCTGGGATGACAGGCATGCACCACCATGCCTGGCTAATTTTTTGTATTTTTAGTTGAGACTGGGTTTCACGATGTAAGCCAGGATGGTCTTGATATTCTGACCTCGTGATCTGCCCACCTTGGCCTCCCAAAGCAGAATAAAATCTTAGCTGAAAGCTGGTATGATTACCAAGGCTCTCCTTAATGGGCCCTAAATTTCCATTTGTGTCTTCTCTTCCCTGTGAGAATGCCTAAGATTCTTTTTTAGCATCTTTTAGTCATAACTTTCTGTTCTGCTTCTCAGGATAACAGGCTTTACTTTGGAACTGACAAATGCTTTGAAATAAAAAGTGATACCAAATATCAGGCTCTTACCTCTCTGGGTTTCCCTTCTTTCTGGGGTCTTGGTTGAACAAGTCCTTATTGCATTGATAGCTGTATAATATAGACTTCAAATAACTGTTTTTATAATATTTGGTCTAGATACTTCATTAGATCAAACCACATGAAATTTTCTGTCTTCATATATCAAAATGGTTGCATACTGGCAATATTATATGGTTCAGTCAAAATTATTGTCAATGAGAGAGTTAATCTGAAATGAACTATTCCACTATTGCTAGAAGCTAAATTATCAGAATCTAGGGTTAATGTAACCAAATGCTATTGGAATATTGGATAAGTGTTACAATGACTAATATATACATTCACATATAATATATATATTCATCAAATAGTATTTTTCCTGTGGAACAAGATATGCTTCTTCAAAGTCAAGTTCAGATAGTAAGTCAGTAACAGCATTTAAAAACCTTGTATCTGGACCGGGTGTGGTGGCTCACGCCTGTAATCCCAGCATTTTGGGAGGCTGAGGTGGGCGGATTACAAAGTCAAGAGATCAAAACCATCCTGGCCAACATGGTGAAACCCTGTCTCTACTAAAATACAAAAAAAAAAAAAAAAAAAAAAAATTTGCCAGACATGGTGGTGCGCGTCTGTAATCCCAGCTAATTGGGAGGCTGAGGCAAGAGAATTGTTTGAATCTGGGAGGTGGAGGTAGCAATGAGCCAAGATTGCATCACTGCACTCCAGTCTGGTGATAGAGTGCGACTGTCTCAAAAAATATATATATATATGGCCGGGCGCGGTGGCTCAAGCCTGTAATCCCAGCACTTTGGGAGGCCGAGGCGGGTGGATCACGAGGTCAAGAGATCGAGACCATTCTGGTCAACATAGTGAAACCCCATCTCTACTAAAAATACAAAAATTAGCTGGGCATGGTGGCGTGTGTCTGTAATCCCAGCTACTCAGGAGGCTGAGGCAGGAGAATTGCCTGAACCCAGGAGGCGGAGGTTGCGGTGAGCCGAGATCGCGCCATTGCACTCCAGCCTGGGTAACAAGAGCGAAACTCCGTCTCAAAAAAAAAAATATATATATATATATATATATATAATTAAATTAAATAAATAAAAACCTTGTATCTGGCCAGGCATGGTGACTCACACCTGTAATCCTAGCACTTTGGAAGGCTGAAGTGGGCAGATCACTTGAGGTCAGGAGTTCCAGACCAGTTGGCCAAACTCTGTCTCTACTAAAAATATAAAAATATGGCCAGGCTGGCCGGGCGCGGTGGCTCAAGCCTGTAATCCCAGCACTTTGGGAGGCCGAGGCGGGTGGATCACAAGGTCAAGAGATCGAGACCATCTTGGTCAACATGGTGAAACCCCGTCTCTACTAAAAATACAAAAAAAATAGCTGGGCGTGGTGGCACGTGCCTGTAATCCCAGCTACTCAGGAGGCTGAGGCAGGAGAATTGCCTGAACCCAGGAGGCGGAGGTTGCAGTGAGCCGAGATCGCGCCATTGCACTCCAGCATGGATAACAAGAACAAAACACCGTCTCAAAAAAAAAAAAAAAAAAAAAAAAAAAATATATGGCCAGGCATAATGGCTCATGCCTGTAATCCCAGCACCTTGGGAGACCAAGATGGGCAGATCACGAAGTCAGGAGACCAAGACCATCCTGGCCAACACGGTGAAACCCCGTTTCTACTAAAAATACAAAAATTAGCTGGGTGTGGTGGTGCATGCCTGTAATCCCAGCCACTCGGAGGCCGAGGCAGGAGAATCACTTGAACCATGGAGTTGCAGGTTGCAGTGAGCCGAGATCACGCCATTGCACTCCAGCCTGGTGACAAAGTGTGACTCTGCCTCAAAAAAAAAAAAAAAAAAAAAAAAAAAATTAGCCAGGGGTGGTAGCATGTAAGTGTAATCACAGATACTCTGGAGGTTGAGGCAAGAGAATTGCTTGAACTCGGTAGGCAAAGGTTGTAGTGAGCTGAGATTGCACCACTGCACTCCAGCCTGGGTGATGGAGTGGAACTCCATCTCAAAAAATAAATCAAAACCTTATATCTTACATAAACATTGTAGAAACAAATGAATTTCCATACAAATTTGCACAGAGGAGATTTTAGTAGCAGAAATCTCAGCGTAATGAAAAAGGTATCTGTGTACCTGAAAATATTATTACTGGAAAACTGTCTGAAAACAATTTGTGATTCCTCTTCCTCTTGTTTCTGCAGGATTGCTTATGGATGCCCAAATGTGTTAAGTTCGGATGGTTTCTGCCCTATACTCCAACAGATAATGAGTATGGTGCTTGGAAGCGCCATTACATTGCTTGTGTGTCCCACTTAGACTGGCTGACACCCAGGGAGGCTGCTGCTACTTACGGGACGCTGAATGAACCCAAAACAGAAGATGAGGAACTACTAGAGAGACATAGAGAAAAGTGCCTAAGGAAAAGAATTTGGGAGAAAATTGCACTACGTAGGAGTAAGTAGCATTTTAAAACTTTGTATCTTATATAAATATTGTAGAAACAAATGGATTCACATACAGATTCCCACAGAGGAAGACAGCCCTATCTTTCAGAATACTCTGTGGGTGGCAGTCTTAAAAGTATTTTCAGGATGAGCTCTTTTTTATTGTGTATTTCAAGTTAATTGACAAGAAAAACAGAAAAACAGATTTCAGACAAAATAAGTTTAAATATCAGTGCCTCCATTGCTATTCTGGCTCCTCTGAGGCTCATAAGACCAAAAACGAGGAGGTGAAACATGTTTGAACATGGGCAAAAAGCAAATAAATGGGTCCAAAACAGAGGAAGTGGGAGTGGTGAAAGGAGGAGGAGAAATGAAAATGAGAATGGAAGCAGGAAAAATGGCATTTAAAAAAGAGAGGAAAGAGAGGACAGCTCTCCTTTTTTTTTTTTTTTTTTTTTTTTTTTTTTTGAGACGGGGTTTCGATCTTGTTACCCAGGCTGGAGTGCAATGGCACGATCTCGGCTCACCGCAACCTCCGCCCCCTGGGTTCAAGCAATTCTCCTGCCTCAGCCTCCTGAGTAGCTGGGATTACAGGCACGCGCCACCATGCCCAGCTAATTTTTGTATTTTTAGTAGAGACGGGGTTTCACCATGTTGACCAGGATGGTCTCGATCTCTCGACCTCGTGATCCACCCGCCTCGGCCTCCCAAAGTGCTGGGATTACAGGCTTGAGCCACCGCGCCCGGCTCCTTTTTTTCTTTTTTTTTTTGAGACAAAGTCTCACCCAGGCTACAGTGCAATGGCATGATCTCAGCTCACCGCAGCCTCTGCTTCCCAGGTTTAAGCTATTCTTCTGCCTCAGCCTCCCGAGTAGCTGGGATAACAGGCATGTGCCACCATGGCCAACTAATTTTTGTAGTTTTAGTAGAGAAGAGGTTTCACCACCTTGGCCAGGCTGGTCTTGAACTCCTGACTTCTGACAATCCATGCGCCTCAGCCTCCCAAAGTGCTGGGATTACAGGTGTGAGCTACCACACCCAGCCATTTCCTCTCTCTCTTTTTAAAGCTCTCTCTTCCAGTTAAGCCCCCTTTTGATTTTTGATTTTTTTGAGACAGGGTCTCACTCTGTCACCCAGGCTGTGCAGTGGTGTGACTGCTGGCTCACTGCAGCCTCAACTTCTGAGGCTCAAGTGATCCTCCACCTCAGCCTCCCGAGTAGCTGGGACCACAGGTGCATACCACCATGCCCTGCTAATTTGTTGTATTTTTAGTAGAGACGGGGTTTCGCCATGCTGGTCATGCTGGTCCTGAACTCCTGGGCTCAAGTGACCCACCCACCCTGGCCTCCCAAGGTGCTGGGATTACAGGTGTGAGCCGGGACGCCCAGCCTTGGGTAGGCCTTATGCTTTACGCAGTGTATAAAAGAAAACGGCAAAACTGATTTGAGTTCTCCCATGCTGTCTTCCAATTAACTCACCCTCTGGTGAGATTGTGATACGTAGGAAATTGCTTGAAGACAAGAAGGGCACAAATGAATGTGACACTTATCAATTGATTAACTGGTCTCCACAAGAAAAGAGTTACTTGTTCTCTGAGCTTTGTTTCTTGACCTGAAATGGCTGGTAGCTCACAGCCACAGTGCCGAGAGGATGAGAAATCCAAACCGAGCGTGTGAAAATGGCTGTAATTATTGTCATTTGGAACCTTGCCCTGGTACAGCTTTAGTTCTGATGCCTTTTTCTGTGTGGACTTGGCTGGGAGAAGCATGAAGTAACCAGCCCCGCTGCTGCTCTTTGTCTTTCAGAGGAGTTATTCAAAGTTCGACCCCCTTGGGTGAGTGGAACGGGCCGCTCTAGCGTGCTAAAGCCCAGATGCCAACCACGCCTCTCCCAGACTGTAAGGGAGCGAGCAGGATCACATGAAGCTTTGGAGAAACAGCTTGTTTTGACATCGTTAGAAACCTTGCCCAAGCAGTAAGTAAAATTCCATCTACTGAAGGCTCAGCACCATCCCCTGATACCAATGATTCATTCTACAATAATTTAGCTAACATGCAGAAATCTTGTGTGGCTCATATCCCATGAAATATTGGTAGAGATAATTTTCTTCTTTTTTCTGAGATGGAGTTTTGCTCTGTCGCCCAGGCTGGAGTGCAGTGGCGCGATCGTGGCTCACTGCAAACTCCAACTCCCTGATTCAAGCAATTCTACTGCATCAGCCTCCCAAGTAGCTAGGATTACAGGCATGTGCTAATATACCCAGCTAATTTTTGTATTTTTGGTAGAGATGGGGTTTCACCATGTTAGCCAGGATGGTCTTGATCTCCTGACCTCATGATCCACCCACCTCAGCCTCCCAAAGTGCTGGGATTACAGGCATGAACCACCACACCTGGCTGAGATAATTTTCTAGAACAGTGGTCTTAAACATGCTTTCTGAAGAGGTAAACATATAACATCCAAAACTTACATTTTAAATATTCTTTTATTTGTTTTTGAGATGAGGTCTTGCCACATTGCTCAGGCTGGTGTCAAACTTGTAGGCTCAAGCGATCTTCCCACTGGCCTCCCAAGTAGCTGCAATTACATGCATGCCACCGAGCCTGACTTCACATATTCTCAACTCTGCAGTGAAGCTATATTGTGGATGTAGAATATTTTCTGAATAAAGTGATTGAGCAAAAATTGCATTTTTCCACAAGTGTTTTTTATGAAGTAAGAGTATCCAAATGGTATCCAAATATAACTTCCATTTATATTTGTATGTACAAATATAATTTTATTACCCAAAATAGAGAAACATCAGCTGCATTCAGTTACCAAATCATACTATACAGTGAAATTACCAGAAATTCAATTCCATCTGACTCTCATAACCATCACAATTGTGCATCTACTTAGAATTTCTTTTTAACTTTTAACTTTGGATTCTAGAGATCATGTAATCTCACTCACCTATGTTTCAAATGAGGAACTTGAGGCCTAGAGAGGTGACATGACTTACCCACATGTCAAAGTGTCAAACACTAGAACCTAAAACTCTAAAATTCCAAGTCTTTCAACTTCACCCACTGATGCTACCTGCGTAGGATCTCTATATGTCTGAACATTTGTGATTGTGTGTACGTACATTTACTTGTCCAAGGCACCTAAAGAATTTTAAGAAGCCAGGCGTGGTGACTCAGCCTATATTCCCAGCACTTTGGGAGGCCAAGGTGGGAGGATCACTTGAACTCAGGAGCTGGAGACCAGCCTAGGCAATATGGTGAGACCCCATCTCTATAAAAAATAAAAAATAGCTGGGTGTAATGGTACGCACCTGTGGTCTCAGCTACCTGGGAGGCTGAGATGGGAAAGATTGCTTGAGCCTGGGAGGTTGAGGCTACAGAGAGCTGTGATCACACAACTGCACTCCAGCCTGGGTGACAGCAGGACCCTGTCACTTTATATATATATATATATATATATATATATATATATATATATACACACATATATATATATGAAGTGTATACATACACACATAAAAAGTGTATATGTGAGTGTGTGTGTGTGTGTGTGTGTGTGTGTGTGTGTGTGTGTATGAAGAGATTATTCAGGAAAAACTGAGGCCTAGAAGGAAATTCAAAATCTCTCAGCTACTTTTTAAATATCTTAAATATCTTTTGAACTCCCAAATATGTCATTACATTCATTTAAGTGCCCAATATAAGCTAAGTAAGTTCCAAGAGACTGTTGCATCCCACATGTGCAGAGGAGAGGCTCAGAGAGCAGATTTGGCCTACCCCACCCAGGAGCTCCATTTGCTACTGGCCCCTCAAAACTCAGGGAGAAGCTAAGGCATGGAGGCCACATGCCTTGCAGAGTAGAGCTGATGCCCAGAGCACATATGCTACTCACTTACCAAAACTCAACGTAAAAGAAAATTAAAACTTCATGTATTTCCAGCCGGGTGTGGTGGCTCACGCCTGTAATCCAAGCACTTTGGAGGCTAAGGTGAGCGGATCACCTGAGGTTGGGAGTTCAAGACCATCCTGACCAATATGGTGAAACCCCGGCTTAAAAAAAAAAAAAAACTTCATGTATTTCCTTTTTCTCCTTAGAAGCAATATTTCTGGAAGCCATTCCTACCCTTTATTATCAAAGAAAAACTGGCATGGAGTGTATAAAAATGATGACAGCTCTTCATATGCTCTCCGGCCACACTTCATATTAATATCCTCTCGGATTCCTGCATATGAGGTAGAGTATGTTATGAGACCAGTCCTGTCCTGATTGGTTTTTTAAATCTAGACTAGAGGGGGGGTGACAGTCTTTTGACCACCATGTGTATGAAAAATGATTCAACTTCTAAAAGGAAAATCAAGCCAGGTGTGGTGGCACATACCGGTAGTCCCAGCTACTTGGGGGGTTGAAGTGGGAGGATCACTGGAGCCCAGGAGGCGGAGGCTGCAGTGAGCTGTGATCACACCACTGCACTCCAGCCTGGGCAACAGAGTAAGACTCTGTTTTTATTTTTTAAAAAAATAATAATAACAAGAGCGAAACTCTGTCTCAAAAAAAAAAAAAAAAAAAAAAAAAAAAAAGCCAGGTGTGGTGGCTCATGCCTGTTATCCCAGCACTTTGGGAGGCTGAGGAGGGTGGATCATGAGGTCAAGAGATTGAGACCATCCTGGCCAACATGATGAAACCCTGTCTCTACTAAAAATACAAAAATTAGCTGGGTGTGGTGGCATGCGCCTGTAGTCCCAGCTACTCAGGAGGCTGAGGCAGGAGAATTGCTTGAACCCGGGAGGTGGAGGTTGCAGTGAGCCGAGATCGTGCCACTGCACTCCAACCTAGTGCCTGGTGACAGAGCAAGACTGCCTCAAAAAACAAAGAAGAAAAATCTTCATTTTAGGCTGGGCATAGTGGCTCACGCCTGTAATCCAAGCACTTTGGAGGCCAAGGCGGGTGGATCACCTGAGGTCAGGAGTTCAAAACTGGCCTGGCCAACATGTCCAAACCCCATCTCTACTAAAAGTACAAAAAAAAATAGCTAAGTGTGGTGGCACAGGCCTGCAGTCCTAGCGCTACTCAGGAGGCTGAGGCATGAGAATTGCTTGAACCTGGGAGGCGGAGGTTGCACTGACCTAAGATCAGGCTACTGCACTCCAGCCTGGGTGACAGAGTGAGACTGTCTAAAATAAAATAAATAAAGTAAATTAAACATAAATAAAATAATCTAAGTGAAAATGTATAGACCTGAAATAGTTTTTAAAGTCAGAAGTAATGAATGTAATCATAAATCAAAATTATTTGGAAAAGTATTAAAGGCTCAGACTTTTAACTGAAGCCTTTTGAGAGGTAACAACTTACTCAAGTGTCAAAGTTTCAAACACTAGAACCTAAAATCCTAAAATTTCAACACTCTTAGCTTCATCCATTGATGCTACGTGTGGATCTCTGTGTGTCTGAGCATTTGTGAGTGTGTCTGTGTATCAGTCTGTTCTCGCACTTCTATAAAGAAATACTCAAGACTGGGTAAGTTATAAAGGAAAGAGATTTAAAATTGACTCAAAGTTTCACAAGGCTGGGGAGGCCTCAGGAAACTTACAATCATGGCAGAAGGCTAAGGGTAAGCAAGGACCTTCTTCATATGACAGCAGGAGAGAGAATGAGCAAGAGAAATGCCAGACACCTATGAAACCACCAGATCTCATGAAAACTCACTCAGTGTCACGAGAACAGCATGGGGGAAACTGCCTTCATGATCTAATCGCCTCCCACCAGTTCCGTCCCTTGACTCTGGGGATGATGGGGATTACAAAGCAAGATGAGATTTGGGTGGGAACACAAAGCCACACCGTATCAGTGTGCATGTCCAATAAATTTTTGAATTTGTTGCACTTAATCCAAAAAACGAGCATACTGATTAAGAATTACTTTAAAACTTCTCTGGAATTCTCAAATAATTTAATAGTACTATGTAACCACCATCTCACAAAAGAAGAATGTCAGAAATCCTGTTTTATGATTTAATTAAGGTACCATTAAACTAAAATATGCTTTCTTTATAATGAAGTTATAGATTTTAATTTTAATATGAATAATATGAAGTTACAGATTTTAATTTTAATATGAATAATATAAATTTAAAGGAAGTACAAAGATGATCTTGGAAGACAATAGTATTTATATATGTGGGTGTATATGTATGTATATACCTGTAGGTATTAATATGCACACATAGGGACATTTACTTAGAAAAGTTCCTATTTGTAACAAAATGGCTCCTTTCAAGATATGAGCTCACTTCTTCCGGGCATCTGGGAGTCAGCTCTAATCACTGACAACTGGTGAGTTCAGTGGATCCACATGAAAGCAAGATCAGAGCCTTGATCTCCATGTGGGCCATAGTTTCCCCAGTGCTTCACAGTGCATCATGCTGGCTGGGTATGGTGGCTCACACCTATAATCCCACCATGCTGGGAGGCCAAGGCAGGAGGATTGCTGGGACTACAGGTGAATGCCTCCACCACCACACCCACCTAATTTTTGTATTTTTTATAGAGACTGGGGTTTCACCATGTTGCCCAGGCTGGTCTCAAACTCCTGTGCTCAAGTGATCTGCCAGCCTTGGCCTCTCAGAGCGCTAGGATTACAGGTGTGAGCCACTGCACTTGGCTTGTATTACATTTTTTTTTTTTTTTGAGATGGAGTTTCGCTCTTGTTACCCAGGCTGGAGTACAATGGTGCGGTCTTGGCTCACCGCAACCTCCGCCTCCTGGGTTCAGGCAATTCTCCTGCCTCAGCCTCCTGAGTAGCTGGGATTACAGGCATGTGCCACCATGCCCACCTAATTTTTTGTATTTTTAGTAGAGACAGGGTTTCACCATGTTGACCAGGATGGTCTCGATCTCTTGACCTCGTGATCCACCCGCCTCGGCCTCCCAAAGTGCTGGGATTACAGGTGTGAGCCACTGTGCCCGGCAGCTTTTATTACTTTTTAAAAGTTATTTATCCTTTCTGCTCCCTAGCACTGCTGGGCCTGCAGGTATCTTTTGAACCGCTTACATGGGTCTCGTTTTGCAGGATGGAGTTTATTGACGTTGTTCATGAGGTCAAGAGATCGAGACCATCCTGGTCAACATGGCGAAACCCCGTCTCTACTAAAAATACAAAAATTAGCTGGGCATGGTGGCACACACCTGTAATCCCAGCTTGGGAGGCTGAGGCAGGAGAATCGCTTGAACCCGGAAGGTAGAGGTTGTGGTGAGCCAAGATCAAGTCATTGCACTCCAGCCTGGGCAACAAGAGCGAAACTCTGTCTCAAAAAAAAAAAAAAAAAGGCCTACTTTAAGAGATACCAGGTGAAATTTAGAAGACAACCAGAGGGTAAAAGTGATTACTATGCTGGGAAATGCTTGGTGATACAAGATAAAAATAAATGCAACACACCCAAATACAGGACAATTCATGTAACAAACAGAGATATCATTTGTCATATTGCTTATTCCCCATAGAAGGGGATACGACAGTCTGTGCAGCATATGCGCATGAACTGCCAAAATACGGTGTGAACGTTGGCCTGACAAATTCCGCTGCAGTGTACCGTACTGGCCTGCTGCCGGCCCGCAGGCTTCTCAATAGGCTTGGCATGGACAAGATCTAGGAAGGCCAAGTGGAGGTGACTGGTGATGAATACAACGTGGCAAGCGCCGATGGTCAGTCAGGTGCCTTTACCTGCTATTTGGATGCAGGCCTTGCCAGAACTACCACAGGCTATAAAGTTTTTGGCACCGTGAAGGGAGCTGTGGATGGAGGCTTGTCTATCACTCACAGTACCAAACCATTCTCTGATTATGATTCTGAAAGTAGGAAATTTAATGCAGAAATATGCCAGAAGCACTTCACGGGCCAGAATGTTGCAGATTACATGTGCTACTTAATGGAAGATGAAGATGCTTACAAGAAACAGTTCTCTCAACGTATTAAGAACAGCGTAACTCCAGACATGATGGAGGAGGTGTATAAGAAAAGTCATGCTGCTATACGAGGGAATCCAGTCTGCGAAAAGAAGCCCAAGAAAGAACTTAAAGAGAAGAGGTGGAACTGGCACAAAATGTCCCTCGCTCAGAAGAAAGACCAGGTAGCTCTAAAGGCAGCAAGCTTCCTCAGAGCTCAGGAGCGGGCTGCTGAGAGCTAAACCAAACCATTTTCTATGAGGATTTTTCAGATAAAGACAGTAAACTATGGACAACAAAAAGAAAAGAAAAGGTTATTTATATGTCTTTGTGCATGGTGTGCACAAAGATAAAAAGGTTGAAAGAAAATAATCTAATTTTTTTTTTTTTGAGATGGAGTCTCGCTCTGCCACCCAGGCTGGAGGGCAGTGGTGCCCTCTCAGCTCACTGCAACCTCCACATCCCAGGTTCAGTGATTCTCCTGCCTCAGCTTCCCCAGTAGCTGGGATTACAGGCACGTGCCACCACATCCAGCTAATTTTTGTATTTTTAGTAGAGACGGGGTTTCACCATGTTGGCCAGGATGGTCTCGATCTCTTGACTTTGTGATCTGACCACCTCAGCCTCCCAGAGTGCTGGGATTACAGGCATGAGCCACCGCGCCTGGCCTAAATTGTGAATAGTATTTATCTCTGAGTGGAGTTACATGCTCAATTTTCTCCTCTTATAATTAGAAATAAACTAATTTTAATAGAAACCAAGGAAGGAGGAAGCTTATCTTCTTCCATATTCTCTGAAAATTCTTTAGAAATCATGGCATATTTTGTATCCATTCTATTTCTTTCATTAATAAATATTCTAAAATAGTGGGTCTCAGCTCCTACAGCTTTGGTTTCATTTTCCAGATGGTGGTGGAGAGCGTCAAGGCTGGTGTCGTTTCTGTGGTATACGAACACAGCGTAACCTTGGAGAGCCTGCTTTATCTCACAGAAAAAGCTCTGGATGGGCAGAAGGCACAGAGCATGGGAATATTTAGCGATGGAGATAGCAGAGAAATCAATTTACTCCAAGGTAGGTCTGGGGATTGGTGACAAACCACCATGCAACTTCGTACTATGCAGCGTTTGTCCACAGTGTGACTTTCGGAGGACTGTTTCAGTTCCAAGTTGCTAAGATGTATTGATTTGGTCTTTATGAACACAGTGAAGTTTTTTTTTTTCTTTTTTGATTCAGGGTCTTGCTCTGTCACCCAGGCTGGAGTGCAGTGGTGTGATCATGGCTCACTGGAGCCTGGACTTTCCAGGTTCAAGTGATCCACCTACTTCAGCCTCCTGAGCAGCTGGGACCACAGGCATGTTCCACCACAATGAGCTAATTTTTGTATTTTTTGTAGAGATGGGGTTTTTCCATGTTGCCCATGCTGGTCTCAAACTCCTGGGCTCAAGTGATTCTCCTGCCTTAGCCTCTCAAAGTGCTGGGCTTACAGGCGTGAACCACCACGACCACCTGTTGGTTTTTTTTTTTTTGGAGACAGAATCTTGCTCTGTTGCCCAACGTGAAGTGCACTGGTGTGATGATCGCTCACTGCAGCCTCAAACTCCTAAGCTCAAGTGATTTGTCCTCAGTGTCCTGAGCAGCTGATGCATACAATCATATCAAGCTAATTTCTATTTTTGTTTTTTAGAGGTGGGATCTTACTATATTGCCCAGGCTGGTCTGGAACTCCTAGCCTCAAGCAATCCTTCCATCTTAGCCCCCAACGTGCTGGGATTACAGGTGTGAACCGCTGTGCTTGGCCTTCTTAAAATTGCAGACATTCTAATGGATGTAGTATCTCATTGTGGTTTTGATTTGCATTTATCTGTTGATTAGTGATATCAAGCATCTTTTCATATGCTTGTTGGCCATTTGGATATCTTCTTTAGAGAAATGTCTATTCAAGTCCTTTGCACATTTTTTTAAATTTTTATTTTATTTATTTATTTATTTATTTTTGAGACAGAGTTTCACTCTTGTTACCCAGGCTGGAGTACAACGGTGCAATCTCGGCTCACCGCAACCTCCGCCTGCTGGGTTCAGGCAATTCTCCTGCCTCAGCCTCCTGAGTAGCTGGGATTACAGGCACGCGCCACCATGCCCAGCTAATTTTTTGTATTTTTAGTAGGGATGGGGTTTCACCATGTTGACCAGGATGGTCTCGATCTCTTGACCTCGTGATCCACCCGCCTCGGCCTCCCAAAGTGCTGGGATTACAGGCTTGAGCCACCGCGCCCAGCCTTTTGCACATTTTTAAAAATTGAGTTGAGTTTTTTCACTGTTGAGTTATAGGTGTTCATATATTCCAGATATTAACCCATTATCAAATATATGATTTGCAAATATTTTCTCCCATTCCATAGGCTTTGTTTTTACTCTGTTGATTGTACACTTTGATGCACAAAAGTTTTAAGTTTGATGGAAGTACAGGAATTTTAATAGCAAATACCAAGATCTATAAATTAGTGCATACTAACATTTATTATATTCCTCCTTGACTTACACTACAAAGGAAAGGAATGACTGATAACAGCAACTTGTTACAGGGCAGCTATCAAAAACCTCAGTGGGGTGGAGCATGGTGGCTCACACCTGCAATCCCAACATTTTGGGAGACTGAGGTAGGTGGCTCTCTTGAGCCCAGGAACCCATATCAGCTTGGACAACATGGCAAAACCCTGTCTCTACAAAAAATACAAAAAAATTAGCTGGCTCTGGTGGCACACACCTGTAGTCCCAGCTACTCCTTGGAAGGCTAAGGTGGGAGGATCCCTGGATACTGGGGCCGGAGGGGATGGGGGCAGACGTTGCAGTGAGCCATTGAGCCTCTGCACTCCAGCCTGGGCTACAGAGAAAAACCCTATCTTAAAAAAAAAAAAAAAAAAAAAAAAAAAAAAAAAAAAAATCCACCAACCCCCCCAAAAACAAACCTCAATTGTTACCCTTTTTTGGGGGAAAGAGATGATGAATGTTTTAGAAGCAAACTTCTAGTTTCTTTTTCTTATAACTTGCATTCTTTTTTATACTTAAAGTAAAATTGTTTTAAAACTTACTCAAATGAAATCTTCCATCATTGTGGGATGAGGGGAGAGAATGAATAAGATGGTCCCAGATACAGCTGGAGTAAACCAGCAAAATGGCAGAGTGAGTCCCTGAGTCACCCATCAACTTGCCATCTCTGTGGCTGGGACTTCATGTACTTGGAAAGTTTCAGTGAAATTTCTCATTGGCAGAAATGAATTGCCTTTTGTTTCACTTAACCTTACTTCTGGTTTTCCTTGTTTAGCTTGCCTTTGCCTGGGGCAAGTTGTGTTCCATATCAGTATTCTATGTCCTCCCAAAGTAAAGCACAGATACTATTTATCTGGGGTTTAAATTTACAATTAGTTACATCATAACTCTTTTTTAAATGTTGCAGAGATATACACAAGTTTATACAGTGGAAGTAAGTTTATCTCATGTGGAATGTCCTATTAGGGTTTCTTGATCTCTGCCTTTATGTTCTCCAGGTAAGAAAGTTTTCAAACTCTGCCTTTTCTCTGTTCTGGTTTTTTGTTGTGTTTTCTTTTTTTTTTTTTTTTTTTTTTTTTTGAGACGGAGTTTCGCTCTTGTTACCCAGGCTGGAGTGCAATGGCGCGATCTCGGCTCACCGCAACCTCCGCCTCCTGGGCTCAGGCAATTCTCCTGCCTCAGCCTCCTGAGTAGCTGGGATTACAGGCACGTGCCACCATGCCCAGCTAATTTTTTGCACTTTTAGTAGAGACGGGGTTTCACCATGTTGACCAGGATGGTCTCGATCTCTCGACCTCGTGATCCACCCGCCTCAGCCTCCCAAAGTGCTGGGATTACAGGCTTGAGCCACCGTGCCCGGCTTGTTGTGTTTTCTTTGTTTTTTTGAGATGGAGTCTCGCTCTGTGGCCCAGGCTGGAGTGCAGTGGCACAATCACCCAGGCTGGAGTGCAGTGGCACAATCTCGGCTCACTGCAGCCTCCACCTCCTTGGTTCAAGCAATTCTTTTGCCTCAGCCTACCGAGTAGCTGGGACTACAGGCGCGCACTACGATGCTCAGCTAATTTTTATAATTTTAGTAGAGATGGGTTTTCACCATATTGGCCAGGCTGATCTTGAACTCCTGACCTTGTGATCCACCTGCCTCAGCCTCCTAAAGTGCTGGGAATACAGGCATGAGCCACCGTTTATTTATCCTTATTCTGTTTTTTTTTTTTTTTTAAGTAGTAGTAACAATAACAAAATACCTCAAACAACCAATTTCCTTCAATATAATTGTGGTGTTTTCTCAAAAGCTTTTGCTTTAAAATCACCATCAAAACCAAGTTTGCTACTCTGTCACATGAAAAAGTCCTTTCTAGCTATTTAGAAAATATCTAGACTTCCCAGTGGGAGGGAGTGAAACACCAGAATTCTGTGCCTATTTTCATTTCATCACCGGAGCCTAGGATTGTGGAGTTTCCAGGACTCCTTTAGAAATGGGTCCAGACCCATGAAGCTTAGTGGAATCATCACACAAAATTGTTGGGAAGTGAGAGAAAAGGAGCATTTCCATGGATGTTTACCATCTCTGGGAGCCTTACTTCTGCTCTGCACTACTTATTTTTTGATTGACAATCATGGGAAACATTTCTACTTTGGAACTTGGTTGCAAAATTCCAGGACTTTCTGGCCAGCCACCCTAAATCCTGTGTGCGCGTGTTATCTTACCCTGCTGCATAGCGGAGAGAGAGATGCAGCGTCGTAAACCTGAGTGCACAGTGTCCAATGTACCCAGGATGTGAAGGATGGTGCAGGAGGAAGCAGAGATGCCTCGATGTCTTGGTCTTAAGGCAGATGGCGTTTTGATTTTGTGCTTACATTTTCACAAACTGCTAATAATTTCTGTTCAGGAGTATGTCACAAACTAACATGACATTTTGATTTTTTTTTCCTCAGGGTATAAAATTGGTGTTAAAAATTTACTGAAGCCTGAAGTGAGAGATTTCTGGGAGAAATTAGGAAGCTATGTGGCCACTGAAGACGAAGGAGGCCACGTGGACTTCTTCGTGCCCCTTGGAGCATCAGGTCAGCTCAGACACCTTATAGAGAGGCAGCAGCCAATGCCACTGCATGGGGACATGTTGTGAATTACTGAAGTGCCCCTGGGCCAGATGATTCAGTCACATTTTGCTCTTCAATGTCTTTTTTCTTTATACTTCCCATATCCAGGTATTTCAGGAATGTAGGAGTGAGGGATAGTGATGAGAGTGACCTGTGTCTGCAGAAGTACAGTCCCTAAATGGCAAGACCCAGCAGCATGATTTATATTTATCCTGGAAAACACAATAAAACCAGCCTCCAGGATATAAGGGAAGGTGCCTGACCATCATAGGAACCATAATCATTCAATCTGAGAAAACACCCCCTGCCGCCTTCTGAACCTGGAGTAGGCATGAACTTCGGTGACCAAGAACCTGAACTTGAGTCTCATCCATGTCATTGTTTAGCTTTGCGGCATTAGGCAAACTTGTGGACCTCCATTTGCTCATATGAAATTTAGAACAACAGTACCTTGGCGAATCTTTTTTTTTTTTTTTTTTTTTTTTTTTAATTTTGAGATGAAGTCTCACTCTGTCACCCAGGCTGGAGTGCAGTGGTACAAACTTGGCTCACTGCAACCTCCGCTTCCCGGGTTCAAGCAATTCTCCTGCTTCAGCCTCTCAAGTAGCTGAGACTACAGGCGTGCACCACCATGCCTGGCAAATTTTTTGTATATATAGTAGAGATGGGGTTTCACCATGTTGGCCAGGCTGGTCTGAAACTCTGACCTCGTGATCCACCCACCTCGGCCTCCCAAAGTGCTGGGATTACACATGAGCCACCACGCCCAGCCAACCTTAGCGTATCTTAAATATGCTAAGGTGAAAATCAAGATGGCATAAATATTTAAATACTAAAAATAGTGTAAATTCTTAGATAATATTAAAAACAGTGAAGTGCTTTGTAAAGATGAGTATGGCTAATGATGACTGAGGTTGCTGGTATCATTTTATAAGTGCCTGCCTGTCTAGGATCAGCAACTGTGATTCAAAGTTGATTTCTAGGCTTGAAAAGAAACTCCAGCAGCATTAAGTCAGATTCACTCTTTGGAGATCTATTCAATAAAAGTTCTGCATTCATGGCCGATGTTTTACCAGGCAGAGCTGGGGGAGTGTGAAATTAAATTTTCTCACAATGTTTTCTTTTTGTTGTTGTTGTTAGTCATTCCTTGGGGAACTGTGAGTTTTAAAATTCTTTCTACTCCTCAAATTTCACCGGATTGTTCAACATGTACAAAGCAAGGCCTTGGCAGGCTTCAACCAGGGGACAGGAAAAAACAAAAAAGGAAGGGAAAGAATTTTTTTAAATGTGTAAATAATTTTACCAAGTTATTCCAATTATATTTACATACAAATATATATTTCTTAAATCTCAGCTGTGTAGAAAATATGCTGGCCAGGTGCGGTGGCTCGCACCTGTAATCCCAGGACTTTGGGAGGCCGAGGTGGGAGGATCAACTGAGTTTAGGAGTTTGAGACTAGCCTGGCCAATATGGCAAAACCCCATCTCTACTAAAGATAGAAAAAAATAGCCAGGTATGGTGGTGGGGGCCTGTAATCCCAGCTACTTGGGAGGCTAAGACAGGAGAATCGCTTGAACCTGGAGGTGGAGTCTGCAGTGAGCCGAGATCGTGTGACTGTATTCCAGCCTGGGTGACAGAGAGAGACTCCGCCTCAGGAAAAAAAAAATATGCATAGAAAAATGTAGGAGGAAATATACCAAAATATTAACAACATCTGTTTCTAGATGTGTTTTATGTTTTTTCTACTTTTGAAATTGGTTTTAAAAGACTAGGTTATAAAGAGTGTGGATGGTGTGATCTCGTTGTTTAAAACATGCATGTGTGTGAGGTGGTGTATGTATTTATAGAAAAATATTTGGAAGGATGTATACCAAGGTATCGACACTAGTTGTCAAAAACTCACTTATAAGTGAGTTTTCCTTTTTTTCTCCCTTTTAAAAAATCTCTTTTGTTTGCCTCAATTTCCTTTAATGAACTAATATTACTTTTATAATAAGAACAAAGCAAATATTTTAAGTGGCGTAGAAGAAAGGACTTGGGAAAGCACTGAAGGCAGAATAAGAATAAAGGAAGAAAAGAACGGTGGGTTTGGTGACGTAAAAATCATCTCAAGTGAAACTTAATGATACTCAAAAAATAGACTTCCTGTCGCCATTCTGGGCCCCCAAATTCTCATCAAATGTAATATCCACCTGGATGCATCAAAGATCACGGACTTCTCAGTCCAAATACTTCTTTTCCACAACTTCAGGCATCTCTCTTAGGCTTGTTAGCCCAGTAGCTGTATTACCCCTAAAATCTTGATTTCAAGCATTTATCTTTGAGAACCATTTTCAAATCATGTACTCAAACAACCCCACTATAGCAGCTCCTTGTCTAAGACCTCCAGTCTACACGCTCCAACTTTTTCACTGTCTATCACCACATCTTCATTTTTTGCTCCCTTGTTAAACCTGGATTTAATGGCCCAACTTTATCACCACTTCCTGGCAAAAAATCTGAACTTCCTTTTCTCCGTTTTTTGGCTAAATCCCAGTGTTCGTTACAACAACTCTCTGCACAGGCTATTCCTGTGGGTACTAGAGCAGCTAAAGACTTTTGGAATAAGTGATACAACTGCTCTGATTGGTCCAACTTTACTCTGGTGACGTAACTGTCAAATTCTGATGCAACACGGATGACCATCCTACTGCATTCCTTGGTAAATTCATTTTCACACTCTTAGAGATGACAATTTTATCTCTTCTCTTTAGACAGTCTTTCAATAACCCTGTCTCTCAGCTTTGACCTCACCTTTTACTTCCCTGAGAAAACTGAATCACACAGAAACTCCCCAACTGTCCTCCCACCAGCCAATTCACCAGCAGCTCCACCTCTTACTTTTTAGTCTCTGTCTTCCCTTCTGCCCAGATGGAAGAAGCGCCCCTGCCCAAACAAGATCAGGTGCTGCACTTGGAATCTATCCCATTGCCTTTCATCTTCTCCACACTCCTCTACATCCAATCCTCTCCTGTGGCCTCATTTCTCTTTATTGGGTTATTTCTATCAAATCAGGAACACCTGTAGTATCTCCCATCTTTAAAAAAGGACAATAAACTTTCCCTCACCGATTTTTAATTGGACAAGACTTGAGCACGCATCCATATCACTGGAGGGCTGGTTAAACTACACATTGCTGGGTCCCACCTCGAGCTTCAGACTCAGTTAAGTCTGGGGTGGGCCTGAAGAATTTTCCTTTCTAACAAGTTTCCAGGTGATGTTGATGCTGCTTCTAGGCCTGCCTTCCTTACCTCCCACTGTCTCCTCAAGCTCCTCCAACTGGTTTGTCTCTACTGACACTGCTTTTGGAAGACTGTCAGTGACTTCCATGTGCTCAAATCCAGTGGTCCCTGCTCCATTGCCACCTCACTTTGACCTTTGACTTCTCGGAAGCATCTGATGCCGAGGAAAGCCCCTTCTGGAAATACTCCTTCTCTTGGTGTCCCTAATACCACACTCTCCCTGTTTCCTCCTGCCTCAGTGCCTCTTCTCAGTCTCCTTTGCAGGCTCTTCTTTCTCTATAAGACCCTTAAATATTCCCCAGGGCTTGATCCCAGCCTCTCTCTCCTTTTCCACATATGCACTCTCCCTAGCCAGTCTCATTTTCCTATGTTTATTAGTCCACTCTCACACTGCTATAAATAACTGCCCGAAACTGGGTAATTTATAAAGGAAAGAGATTTAATTGACTCACAGTTCTGCATGGCTGGAAAGCCTCAGGAAATTCACAATCATGGCGAAAGGGGAAGCAAATACGCTCTTCTTCACGTGGTGGCAGGAGGGAGAAGAATGAGAGCCCAGCAAAGGAGGAAGCCACTTACCAAACCATCAGATCTCTTGAGAACTCAACTCACTATCACAAGAAGAGGGTGGGGGAGAGTGCCCCTTAGTGAAATTATCTCCACCTGGTCCCACCCTTGACACGTGAGGATTATTACAATTCAAGATGAGATTTTGGGTCAGGACACAGCCAAACCATATCAACGACTATACACGTAATTTATATGCTGAGGACTCCCAAATTTATGTCTCCAAGGCTGAAATCTCTGAGCTGCAGATTCATATCTAATTCCTACTTACCATCTTCATACTGGATGTTTAATTTTCATGTCTAATAGATACCTCAAAGTTAAGTCAAACCCTTGATTGCCTCCTCAGTACCAAACCTACCCCTTCCCCAATTCCTCAGTAAAAATATCATCATTCAAAAGTTATTGCATAAGCCAAAAATCTAAGAATCTAAGATTTATTCTTTGTGGCATTAAAAACATTTTTAAACAGCATTATTGAAATATAATTAATATACAATAAACTGTACATAATTAAAGTGTATAATTGACCAAATTTTGACATATATTTGCCTACTCCATGAAACCATTTAAAAAATCCAGAAAATGAACATATTCATTAACCCCAAAAGTTTCCTCATGCCATTCTGTAATTCTGTAATTTCTCTCTCCTGCTTCTCCCCACTCCCAAACTGAGCAACCACTGATCTTTCTTATTTCACATATATTAGTTTTCATCTTCCAGAATTTTCCTTTGTTTTTTGAGACAGGGTCTGCTTTGTTGCCCAGGCTGGGGTGCAGTGGTGAAATCACAGCTCAGTGCAGCCTCAACTTCCTGGGGTCGAGCGATCCTCCGACCTCAGCCTCCTGAGTAGCTGGGACGGCAGGCACACAACACCACGCCTGGCTAATTTTTTTATTTTTTATTTTTAGTAGAGACAGGGTCTCCCTAGGTTTCCCAGGCTGGTCTTGAGCTCCTAGGCTCAGGCAGTGGGATCACAGGTATGAACCATTCCACCTGATTTTCCTTTTTTTTTTCCTTTCTTTCTTTCTTTTTTTTTTTTTTTTTCTCTGAGATGGAGTTTTACTCTTGTTGCCCAGGCTGGAGTGCAATGGCACGATCTCAGCTCACTGCAACCTCTGCCTCCTGGGTTCAAGCAATTCTTCTGCCTCAGCCTCCCAAGTAGTTGGGATTATAAGCACGTGCCACCATACCCAGCTAATTTTGTATTTTTAGTAGAGAAGGGATTTCACCATCTTGGCCAGGATGATCTCAATCACCTGACCTCGTGATCTGGCTGCCTCAGCCTCCCAAAGTGCTGGGATTACAGGTGTGAGCCCCCACGCCTGGCCTTCCTTTTTTCTTTTTTAATATGGAATAATTCAAAAATTTACATGTCATGCTTGTGCAGAGGCCATACGAATCTTCTCTGTATTGTTCCAATTTTAGTATATGTGCTGCCAAAGTGAGCACGGGCCTAGAGTCTTCTATAAATGGCATCACACTAGGTATTCTCTGTCTGACTTTCTTCACTCAATCATTATTTTAGATTTAGCCATCTGATGTATGTATCAGTGTCTCCTTTTTACTACTGGGAATTATTATATTGTACCCATACACCACAATTTGTTTATCCATTAATTTGTTGATAGATATTTGAGCTCTTTCTGGTTTCTGCTTTTACAAATAAAGCTGCTATGAACTTATGCTTTCATTTCTCTTGTATGAATTCCTGGGCGTAGAGTGGTAAGGTTATATGTAGGTGTATGTTTAACTTTATAAAAACACCAGCTAAACTGATTTCCAAAGTGACTTTACCTTTTTACATTTTCACAAGCAGTATCTGAGAACTCCAGTTGCCTAACACTTGGTATGGTCAATCTTTTTTATTTTAGCCATTCAGTTGGGGGTGTGATGGTATCTCATTGTGGTTTTCATTTGCATTTTCCTAATGACTAACGAGGCTCAAGATCTTTTCGTATGCTTATTTGCCATTCTTTTGCCCATCTTAAAAACTAAGTTGTTTTCTTATTCAGCTTTTGAAACCTTTTTATATTTACTGGATAAGTAATTTGCAAATGTTTTCTCCAGTCTGTAACATATTTTCCTTCACTGAAGAGTTTCCTTTAAAGCACAGTTCCTTTTTCTGAGACGGAGTTTCGCTCTTGTTGCCCAGGCTAGAGTGCAATGGTGTGATCTCGGCTCACTGCAACCGCTGCCTCCTGGGTTCAAGTGATTCTCCTGCTTCAGCCTCCTGAGTAGCTGGGATTACAGAATTACAGGTGTCTGCCACCATGTCCGGCCAATTTTTTTGTATTTTTAGAGACAGGGTTTCAGCATGTTGGCCAGGCTGGTTTTGAACCCCTCACCTCAGGTGATCTGCCTACCTTGGCCTCCTAAAGTGCTGGGATTACAGGCATGAGCCACTGCACCTGGCCTGAAGCATAGTTCTTAATTTTGATGAAATCAAATATGTCAAGTTTTCCTGTATAGATCATGCTTTTATGTCATATCTAGAAACTATTTACCTAACCAAAGGCCACTAAGATTTTCTCCCATGTTTTTTTCTAAATGATATATAGTTTTAAGTTTGACTTTTAAATCTGTGATCCACTTGACTATTTTTTTAATGTAATACATGAGATATGGATAGAGGTTAATTTTTTTTTTAACATATGGCTAATGTTTCATCACCATTCCTTATAACTACTATCCTTTTTCCGATTAATTTCATTTGCACCTTTGTTGAAAACTATCAATTATATATGGGTAAGTTCACCTTTGGACTCTCTATTTGATTCCATTGATTAATTTGTCAATGAAAGTACTGTAGACATCAGTAAGTGAGAGACATCCAAACTTTCAGCTGCTATCATCCTGCTTCATGCAGTAATTGAAGCATTTTGGAGTATCTATTTATTCTTGGACCACAAATAGTTAAAATATATTACCCATTCATTCCAAGTAATTCAATCTGTGTGTTGAATTAATAATTCAATCGATATGTTGTGTCACTTAAGGGGCTAATATTTTTTTTTTTTTTAACTTTACGTTCCTGGTTACAAGTGCAGTGTGTGTAGGTTTGTTACATAGATATATGTGTGCCATGGTGGTTTGCTACGCCTATCAACCCATCATCTAGGTTTTAAGCCCTGCATGCATTAGCTATTTGTCCTAATGCTCTCTCTCCCCTTTCTCCTCACCCCACAACAGGCCCCAGTATATGATGTTCCCCTCTGTGTATCCATGTGTTCTCATTGTTCAACTCCCACTTATGAGTGAGAACATGTGGTGTTTGATTTTCTGTTCCTACATTAGTTTGCTGAGGATGATGGTTTCTAGCTTCATCCATGTCCCTGCAAAGGACATGAACTCATTCTTTTTTGTGGCTGCCTAGTGTTCCATGGTGCATATGTGCCACATTTTCTTTATCCAGTCTATCACTGATGGGTATTTGCGTTGGTTCCAAGCCTTTGCTATTGTAAACAGTGCCACAATGAACATACATGTGCATGTGTCTTTACAGTAGAAAGATTTATAATCCTTTGGGTATATACCCAGTAAAGGGATTGTGGTGTCAGATGGTACTTCTGGTTCTAGATCCTTGAGGAATCACCACATTATCATCCACAATGGTTGAACTAATTTACACTCCCACCAACAGTGTAAAAGCATTCCTATTACTCCACAGCCTTGCCAGCATCTGTTGTTTTCTGACTTTTTAATAATCACCATTCTAACTGGTATGAGATGGTGTCTTATTGCGGTTTTGATTTGCATTTCTCTAATGACCAGTGATGATGAGCTTTTTTTTTTTTTTTATGTTTGTTGCTGGCATAAATGTCTCCTTTTGGGAAGTATGTGTTCACATCCTTTGCCCACTTTTTGATGTGATTGGTTTTTTCTTGTAAATTTGTTTAAGTTCCTTGTAATATTAGACGTGTGTCAGATGGGTAGATTGCAAAAAGTTTCTCCCATTCTGTAGGTTGCCTGTTCACTCTGATGATAGTTACTTTTGCTGTGCAGAAGCTCTTTAGTTTAATTAGATCCCGCTTGTGAATTCCGGCTTTTGTTGCAATTGCTTTTGGTGTTTTAGTCATAAAGTCTTTGCCCATGGAAGGGGCTAAATTTTAACCATCATATTCCATCCTATGTTTAATCTTTTAAAATCTGTCCTCTTAGAATGAGACTCCTCCTTTAAGTGAGACTATTTTAGAAAATATATGTAGATTTTTCTCTGTCTTTAGGCTGAGTATTACAAATCTGGAATAAGCCCCAGTTCAAACTCCACGTCCTCCTTCCGCATCCTGTTGTTTAGTCCTCAGACTGTTTCACCTTCATTATTTAGGGGTGAACTATAAAGTGTTCATGAACTGTTCAGTGGAGAGATCTGAATAGAAGATGAGCTGCTAGTGGCCCTTCTTGACCATCTCTCTAGTGCCCCTAAGTAATATTTAACTGTTCTGTATTAGTCTGTTCTTGCAGTGCTATAAAGAAATACCTGAGGGTGGGCAATTTACAAAGAAAAAAGTTTTAATTACTTCATGGTTCTTCAGGCTGTGTAGTAACCACAGCACTGGCCTCTGCTTGGCTTCTGGTGAGGCCTCAGGGAGCTTATAATCGTGGCAGAAGGTGAAGGGGCAGCTGGTGTGTCATAAGGCAAGAGCGGGAACAAGAGAGGGAGGAGGTGCCACACACTTTTAAACAACCAGATGTTATGTGAACTCAGGGTGAGAACTCACTCATCACTAAGGGGATGGCACTAGCCATTCAGGAAGGATCTGACCCCATGATCCAAATACCACCTGCCAGGCCCCACCTCCGACATTGGGGATTCAATTTAACATGAGATTTGGAGGGAACAGATATCCAAATTATATCATGTTCCATGGCAAAAGATATGAATAAACTAATTAAAGTATTTTTGACTATGCAGAGGCAGGAACTGAAGTTCTTTCTCAGCTGTCTCAACTAACTGGCACATTCTTTACGGCACCCACTGGGATTGCGACTGGCTCCTACCAGCACAGTAAGTGTTACGGGAGCTGTCGGCCATGTCCGATGACACAGGCCAGCTCCAGGACCACCAAAGAACAAAATCCAATTAATAGTACTGGTATGGCTGATATTATTACTCCCTTTCATTCCTCCCCCTGAAGGAGCACTATTACTTCCCAAACTAAGTAATCTCATATCATTTAGTCATTTGCTTAGATTATTTATTGTACATATTTGCCTCAATCCATCATTTGCAAAACCTCTGTTGAAAACATAATCTTTAACAGTTAAGCAAAGTTGCTAATCTAGAAGAATAAGTACAAAGAATAAGTTTTCTTAGTAAAATATGGTCAATATGGCTTTATTTGGAAAAATAAATTGTAGCTACGAAGAGATGGCAAAAAGGCTCGCTTAGTTTTCATTTCAGTAGCATTATCTGAGAGGAAAAATGATCGGAGAAAATGCACCTGAAAGCAAACTTTCATTTAGATACTAACACTGCAAATTTGAATTAAAATGTAACATGGGCTGACCAACAAGAGAACCAAATTGCTTTGTTACACTGAGGCCAGTCATTTTCCCCTTGAATGCACCCTTGATTCCTATCAACGAGGGCTGAGAGGGATGCAGAAACTGTAGAAATCATTGCTTCTCTACTCCTAAATGCCAGGGGCCTTTTAGAATTTAGGAAAACTGGTACAATTGTGAAATCGGTAAGGGAAAAGATTCTTTGTAGATATAACAAAGTGCATTGACCTAATATAGTTTTGAAGCAGAGGTCGCTTGCTAGTTTTAGTTAATATAGCAATATCACCAAATGATAGCATATTTGGCTCTGTGGAGAGAGGAACTGGCCTTGCAGAGCATAGCAGGGCATAGACACTGTTGCTGGTAATAGGGGACAGGTTTTCTCCTTTTTCTCCTCCTCTGCCTTCCCTTTCTCCTGTTCATCCTCCTTTCCTCCTCTCTTCTTCTCATTCTCCTTATTTAAAAGAAAAATGTTGTGGCCAGATGCAGTGGCTCATGCCTATAATCTCAGCACTTTGGGAGATTGAGTTGAGCAGCTTATCTGAGGTCAGGAGTTCGAGACCAGCCTGGCCAACATGGGGAAACCCCGTGTCTACTAAAAATACAAAATTTAGCTTGGCAGTAGTGGCACGCATCTTTAATCCCAGCTACTGGGGAGGCTGAGGCACGAGAATTGCTTGAACCCAGGAGGCAGATGTTGCCGTGAGTCGAGATCATGCCACTATACTCCAGCCTGGGTGACAGAGCAAGACTTGGTCTCAAACAAAAACAAAAACATAGCCGGGCGCGGTGGCTCAAGCCTGTAATCCCAGCACTTTGGGAGGCCGAGGCGGGTGGATCACGAGGTCGAGAGATCAAGACCATTCTGGTCAACATGGTGAAACCCCGTCTCTACTAAAAATACAAAAAATTAGCTGGGCATGGTGGCACGTGCCTGTAATCCCAGCTACTCAGGAGGCTGAGGCAGGAGAATTGCCTGAACCCAGGAGGCGGAGGTTGCTGTGAGCCGAGATCGCGCCATTGCACTCCAGCCTGGGTAACAAGAGTGAAACTCCGCCTCAAAAAAAAAAAAAAAAAACAAAAAAAAAAAAAAAAAAAAAAAAAACATGTTATGAAGCTTTTCACATCTATCTTTTCCTCTATAAAAAATAGAGGAAACAAAGCAAACAAAGATCTCTCTCCATTCAGAACAGAAAATCAAATTTAACATACCACTGCATCATCCATTAATTGCTTTTTTTTTTTTTTTTTGAGACAGAATCTCTTGGCTCATGGCAACTTCTGCCTCCCAGGTTCAAGCGATTCTCCTGCCTCAGCCTCCCAAGTAGCTAAGACTACAGGTGTGTGCCACCACACCCAGCTATTTTTTTGCATTTTTAGTAGAGACAGATTTCATTGTTAGCCAGGATGATCACGATCTCCTGACCTTGTGATCTGCCCGCCTCAGCAGTAATTGCTTTTTAAGAAGAGAAACTTTCTGTAAGCACCTGCTATAGTCACATAGATGATTTTTACAGCAAGGTAGCAGTTTGACATAATTTAAGAAAGATATAGATTTGGCTCTGACAGGGTTGCCTTTCAATGGTTTGATGGGGAAGCCATGTACCATGGGATTTCTTGTGTTTTCACTTTTAGACTGGAAAGGTAAAGCAGTGCATTCTTCCTTAGATGACTGCTCAGCTTCCCAATGCACAGTCCAGCAGCTGTTTTTTTAAACTTTGAATGGAATACATCAGCCTCACCTATCAAAGAGTAGAGATGCATTTGAAATGATTCATTGAATCCGTTTTGAGTTTCTAACTTTTCCTTTGAAAACAGAGGATGGGTGTTTGTCTTAGTCTTCTAATGAGAAACTGTAATAAACTCTAAACAAATGCAACCAAGTTTCTGTTGTACTTTAAACAAGACATAGAATTCTTTCATTTGAGCTCAAGCCTGCAGGAATAACAGAAGAAAATCATGTCAGTTCTTAGTGATTGGCTGGGAGCCCAATGGGGAAAGGCCCCCTCTTCCATCTACTTCAGCGAATCAAAACTACAGACATGGTGCAGCTTCACAGACTTCCTAGAAGACACCTTGAAAAGGGTAAGGAAGCAGTTGTGTCCTCTCTTCAAGGAACTGCAAAAGAGCATCAGTGGCAGGATGATAGGTAAGCAGTCCCGGTACTTCTGTTGCAGGTTAATTACCAAGTTGCCTTCATATCCCGAGTGAATACAAGTTTAGTTATGGTGCAAGTAAAATTTAACTCTTTAACACTTCAGTAAAACTTTATCTCCTAGTTTGCTCACATTGGCTTTCAAATATAATGAATACTCCCTAAGAACAGATATATTCAGGTTCAAAATGTTGAAGTTGGTTCTTATTTTAAAATTTTACCACCTTGAGCCGGGCACTGTGGCTCACGCCTTTTATTCCAGAACTTTGGGAGGCCGAGGCAGGTGGATCACCTGAGGTCAGGAATTCGAGACCAGCTTGGCCAACATGGTGAAACCCTGTCTCTACTAAAATATATATATAAGCTGGGTGTAGTGGTGGGCACCTGTAATCCCAGATACTCGGGAAGCTAAGGCAGGAGAATTGCTTGAACCCAGGAGAAGGAGGTTGCAGTGTGCAAATACGGTGCCACTGCACTCCAGCCTGGGCAACAGAGTGATACTGTGGCTCAAAAAAAAAAAAAAAAAAAAAAAATTTACCACCTTATTAATTCTTGTTTGTCAATTATTTGCCTAGACACAATTTGCTGTTTGCTAAGCCAGAGAGCTGTGTACTTTTTCCACTAGAATTTGCTCTAAAAGTTAAGCACCTCTTAAACCCCAGCACTTATTACATAAATTCTTCTACAATTTAAGTTATATTTATTTTCTATCTAAAATATGTAATTTATTGATGGGTTCCATGGGCCTTTGCTGAGCCTACTGGACATGGCTGAATGAATTTTTCCATTCACACCCCATCCCCATGATCGAATGAATGACCACAGCAGAGCCCTTTGAAAACAACTTACTGCCTTAACTTTGCATCTTTACTAAAGTAGTCCATTCTTTTTTTTTTTTTGAGACGGAGTTTCGCTCTTGTTACCCAAGCTGGAGTGCAATGGCACGATCTCAGCACACCGCAACCTCCGCCTCCTGGGTTCAGGCAATTCTCCTGCCTCAGCCTCCTGGGTAGCTGGGATTACAGGCACGCGCCACCATGCCCAGCTAATTTTTTTGTATTTTTAGTAGAGACGGGGTTTCACCATGTTGACCAGGATGGTCTCGATCTCTTGACCTCGTGATCCACCCGCCTCAGCCTCCCAAAGTGCTGGGATTACAGGCTTGAGCCCGGCAAGTAGTCCATTCTTTAAGTATATTTCACTCTCTGGGTAAAAAGTTTTTCTTTTTCTCATCTGCAACTACTAATATCTATTCAATTTTTCCCCTAATACTTCCCACCTGACTGAAACACCATATCAATCAAATCATCCTGTACCTATGCCTTTCTTCTTTTCCTCTGCCCAGTTCCATATTTAAGGTCTGTTTACATAGTTACCATCTACACAACAGCTGCCACACACAGCGTGCATGCAGATATCTTGTCGATGTCTGTCCTACATCTCTTTACATAAATGCCTCCAAAACAGGGATTTGCCTTCCTGCTAATTTGTCCTACCCACTCTGTCACATTTAGGAGGTGTTCAACCATTGTTTAAAAATAGTTATGAAGTGGCCGGGCGCGGTGGCTCACGCCTGTAATCCCAGCACTTTGGGAGGCCGAGGTGGGTGGATCACGAGGTCGAGAGATCGAGACCGTCCTGGTCAACATAGTGAAACCCCGTCTCTACTAAAAATACTAAAAAAAAATTAGCTGGGCATGGTGGCGCGTGCCTGTAATCCCAGCTACTCAGGAGGCTGAGGCAGGAGAATTGCCTGAACCCAGGAGGCGGAGGTTGCAGTGAGCCGAGATCGCGCCATTGCACTCCAGCCTGGGTAACAAGAGGGAAACTCTGTCTCAAAAAAAAAAAAAAAAAAAAAAATAGTTATGAAGTTATAAACAGGGAGAAATTATTTCTTTCTGGGTTTTTTTTTTTTTTTTTGAGATGGAGTTTCACTCTTGTCTCCTAGGCTGGAGTGCAACAGTGTGACCTCGGCTTACTGCAACCTCCGCCTCCTGGGTTCAAGGGATTCTCCTGCCTCAGCCTCCCAAGTAACTGGGATTACAGGCACGCACCACCACACCAGGCTAATTTTTTTTTTTTAATGGAGTCTCGCTCTGTTGCCCAGGCTGCAGTGCAGTGGTGCGATCTCGGCTCACTACAACCTCTGCCTCCCAGGTTCAAGCAATTCTCCTGCCTCAGCCTTCCAAGTAGCTGGGATTACAGGCATCTACAACCACACGCTGCTAATTTCTGTATTTCTAGTGGAGACGGAGTTTCACCATGTTGGTCAGGCTGGTCTCGAACTCCTGACCTGAAGTGATCTACCCGCCTTGGCCTCCCAAAGTGCTGGGATTACAGGCACAAGCCACTGGTGCCTGGCCTAATTTTTGTATTTTTAGTAGAGACGGGGTTTCACCATGTTGGCCAGGTTGGTCCCCAACTCCTGACCTCAAGTGATCACCTGCCTCGGCCTCTCAAAGTGCTAGGATTTCAGGCGTGAGCCACCACATCTGGCTCTCCTATTTCTTTCATAGATATTAAGGACTAGAAAGAAAATTGGAAAAGTAAACTTTTTAAAGATACAATTTTGTGTGTTTTGGTTTTTTTAGAGACAGGCTCTCTGTCACCCAGGCTGGAGTGCAGCAGCACAATCATAACTCACTGCAGCCTCGAACTCAAGTTCAAGCTATCTTCCTGCCTCAGCTTCCCCAATATAATATATGTAGACAATGAGAAATCAATGGAAAAACAATTTTTTTATATAACTGCATGGTGTTAAAATTTTTAAAATTAACAGATTTCTGTGTATGTATGTTTGCATGTTATTTATTTTGGGCTTTAAAATATTTATATTTTGGTGAAACCCCATCTCTACTAAAAATACAAAAAAATTAGCTGGGCATGGTGGAGTGTGCCTGTAATCCCAGCTACTCAGGAGGCTGAGGCAGGAGAATTGCCTGAACCCAGGAGGTGGAGGTTGCGGTGAGCCAAGATCGCGCCATTGCACTCCAGCCTGGGTAACAAGGGTGAAACTCCGTCTAAAAAAAAAAAAAAAAAAAAAAAAAAAATTTATATATTTGAAGCCTGATATGGTGGCTCATGCCTATAATCCCAGCACTTTGGGAAGCCGAGATAGGTGGCTCAGGAGTTTGAGACCAGCCTGGGCAACGTGGAAAACACTGTCTCCACAGAAAAATATAAAAGTTACCTGGGCATGGTGACATGTGCTACTGAGAAGGCTGAAGCCTGATAATTGCTTGAGCCGGGGAGGAAGAGGTTACAGTAAACCAAGATCGCGTCACTGCATTCCAGCCTGGGTGACAGAGTGAGATCCTGTCTCAGAAAAAAAAAAAAAAAAAAAAAAAAAAAATTGGCTATTTGAGCACAAAGATAAAGGGGAATATAGAGGAACTTTTGGTAGGATTGAGACTCTAACATTTCAATTTACTGAGCTCCTTTTCTCGTGTTCGCTCCTTATTGTCCAATTTATACATTTCATTCAATATCAGTTTTGCCAGAATGGGCACTTTTTATATGCTAGACATTTAAATTACTTTGGTTCTTTTTGTATTTTATCATAGTAGAAATTTTCATGGTGTAATAGAATTTTTAACCTCTATTCTTTGCATTTTTATCCACTGAAAAACAACTGTGGGTCCAGTATGGTGGCTCATATCTGTAGTCCCAATGCTTTGGGAGGCTAAGGTGGGCAAATTGCTTGAGGCCCAGAGTTTGAGACCAGTCTGGGAAACAGAAAGACCCCATCTCTACAAAAAATTTAAAAATTGGCTGGCGCAGTGACTCATGCCTGTAATCCCAGTACTTTGGGAGGACGAGGTTGGCAGATCACTTGAGGTCAGGAGTTCGAGACCAGCCTAGCCAACATGATGAAACCCCATCTCTGTTAAAATTATATAAAAAAAAAAAAAAATTAGCTGGGCATGGCTACTTGGGAGGCTGAGGCAGAAGAATTGCTTGAACCTGGGAGGCGGAGGTTGCAGTGAGCCCAGATAGCACCACTGCACTCCAGCCTGGGTGACAAGAACGAGACTCCATCTCAAAAAAAAAAAAAAAATTAAGCAGGCGTGGTGGTGCATGCCTGTAGTTCCAGTTACTTGAGCAGCCGAGGTGGGAGGATCACTTGAGCTCAGGGAATCATGGCTGCAATGAGCTATCATTTTGCCACTGCACCCCAGCCTGGGCAACAGAGTAAGACCCTGCCTCAAAAAAAAAAAAAAAAGAAGAAGAAGAGGAATTGTGAGGACCGAGTTGTTGTTGTTTTTAAATCACATTTCTTCCATAAATCGACGACAGGGCATGTGGCCTTTTATTGACAGGGCAGTTTATGTTTGATACCATGGGTATGAGCGACATTCTGAACAACCAAGAGATCGCACACGCTCTGACAGATGGGCTGATGGAGTTGTCAAAAGAAGATTCTGTAAGTGTTTCTTTGAAGAAAGTAAACTGTGAAAACCAACATGTAAATCAATTCTGTTTGCAGGTATTATTAATTTTTTTGACCAGTTTATCCCTTTCAGGCACAATCCCTCCGAAAAATTACATCAGTTTCTAATAACAGCCACTGAGAGATTCTGGGCCCAAGATGTGTTAAGTACACAAAACAGACAAGTAGGAAAATCTTCTAGGTTATTTCAGGTTTATTACGTTGTGCCCCGTTTCCTGCCTTGTGCTTAGTTTCAGTCAGAAGTGACTTTTTAATATATAAAACATGTTAGTGGCTTTATATTTCACATAAACTTTACTCAACAGTGAAACCAATTCCTAGTTTGAGGAGAAGCCTGAGAAAATGTGACCCTGATGTGAAAAGATGAAGGGAAAGGGGGCTAGATGAGAGAGGAAGGGAAAGAGAACACAACAGAACAGAAAGAAGCAAATCAGTCATTCAGTTGGGGATGGCTGTAGGAGAAGCCCCAGGAAACAATTTCATCAGACACGGATCCAAGGTACTCTCTCATTAAGGTCAGTCCACATTTCAGAAAATGGTGAGGAGAGGCCAGGCTCCAGGCAGCTCTCCCAGCTCCAAAGAGGCCAGCATAGCTATAGGAAAACTGCGATGTGGCAGGGTCGCGGTGGCTGACGCCTGTAATCCCAACACTTTGGGAGGCCAAGGTGCATGGATCACTTGAGGTCAGGAGTTGGAGACCATCCTGGCCAACATGGTGAAACCCTGTCTCTACTAAAAATACAAACATTAGCTGGGTGTGGTGGCAGGCACCTGTAATCCGAGCTACTCGGGGGGCTGAGGCAGGAGAATCCCTTGAACCTGGGAGGCGGAGGTCTCAGTGAACTGAGATTGCGCCACTGCACTCTAGACTGGGTGACACAGCGAGACTCTGTCTCAATAAAAAAAAGAAAAAAAAAAGAAAAGAAAATGCAGCATGCAGCTCTCTATCTGAGGGAAGTCAGGAATAAGATGGAGCTAGGGCTGATGTTAACATATTCAATAATCTAAATTCTCTAGTTTTCCAAGGAATTCTCAAGGAGGTTCTGAAATCTTTCTTTTCCACCATCATAACTCTACTTTGTGGGCAAATTTAACATTGTCTCTGCACACATCTCTCTCTCCTTATCATCGAGTATCTGCTCCTGCTTCAACGTGGCTTCCTGGGTTTGCACCAGGCATCTCTGGGCTTAGCTGTACTGCATTGGGTGTGGGCTGCAAAGTTGCATTAGCTGTAGTTAGTCTTCTGTGAAGTCTCAGCTCTGCAGTGAGACTCAGGCAGCCTAATGATGAAACGCCTTTGGTGAGCCTTGCTGATAAAATGAACAGGGATAGGCTCACTGCTGTAATCTCAGCACTTTGGGAGGCGAAGGTGGGTGGATCACCTGAGGTCGGGAGTTTGTGACCAACATGGAGAAACTCCATCTTTATTAAAAATACAAAATTAGCCGGGCATGGTGGCGCATGGCTACAATCCCAGCTACTAGGGAGGCTGAGGCAGAAGAATCACTTGTACCCAGGAGGCGGAGGTTGCAGTGACCTGAGATCATGCCATTACCCTTCAGCCCAGGCAACAAGAGCGGAATTTGTCTCAAAAAAAAAAAAAATACTAGAGCAGGGATATTCACAGAGATGCCCCTGCACTGTCTCCCAAAACACCAAAGGATTACTCAGTGTGCTGGTGTAGGTTCAGTGTACTTATTTCCACCTAATTATTTAAAAATAACCAGGTATGATATAATTTTCATGGTGCTCAAACCTGTAGCCTGAGAGGGAACCAAATTTGAGAGCCTCAGCATGTTTTTTCCAGCAATTCTACTACTGCGGCCTCTCTCCCAGGCCTTCTTTCCCATGAAAAACAACAAGATCCTGCCTGTCCACTTTCCTCATTTGGCCAAGAGGCTGGTGTGGGCCACTTTGGTTCCAAAGATCTTTTTTTTTTTTTTTTTGAGACAGAGTTTCGCTCTTGTTACCCAGGCTGGAGTGCAATGGCGCAATCTCGGCTCACCGCAACCTCCGCCTCCCGGGTTCAGGCAATTCTCCTGCCTCAGCCTCCTGAGTAGCTGGGATTACAGGCACGCGCCACCACGCCCAGCTGATTTCTTTGTATTTTTAGTAGAGACGGGGTTTCACCATGTTGACCAGGATGGTCTCGATCTCTCGACCTCGTGATCCACCTGCCTCGGCCTCCCAAAGTGCTAGGATTACAGGCTTGAGCCACCATGCCCGGCCCCAAAGATCTTGAGAGACCCTCCTATCAAATTCTGGTGTCTTAACTGGATAGGGACAAATGTATGGTAACTGGGATATGAGATTGATCAGAGAGTCTTGTGTACCGACTCACATTAAGTACTAGTCACTTTGTTTTCTGGACACGTAAATTCGTTAAGTAGAAAGCTGAAATCCCTGCTAAAAAGTCTCTTCTCTCTTCTGCTGCCCTATTGACACCTGTATTTCAGATGAATGTTTTAAACAGGAATTTTTCTTGGGGGGTGGCATTTTTTTAGGACAAACCTCTGGAATTTTTGTCATATTTTCTGCTGAAGAAATGTGGTAAAAAGATCAAAGAGTTTGAAGAAAATGTTATTCCAACAAAATGTGACCCAAAGACAGCATTCGGCTTATTGATGAAGGTAAAGATGCTGCTGAATTTTCATGCCATTGCTTTTCTGTAGAGTCAGGCACATGTGATGAAGAAATTTATAAACCATAATATGAGCTCTACTGGGAAGCTTTAATGTACCATTTCTCCTAAGAATTTTGTTTTCATGAAGTATTATTAAAAAGGGTGTTTCAGCCAGGCATAGTGGCTCACACCTGTAATCCCAGCATTTTAGGAGGCTGAGGTGGGCAGAGCACAAGATGAGGAGTTCAAGACCAGCCTGTCCAATGTGGTGAAACCCCGTCTCTACTAAAAACACAAAAATTGCCAGGTGCGGTGACTCACGCCTGTAATCCCAGCACTTTAGGAGGCTGAGGCGGGTGGATCACGAGGTCAAGAGATGGAGACCATCCTGGTCAACATGGTGAAACCCCATCTCTACTAAAAATACAAAAATTAGCTGGGCATGGTGGCGCGTGCCTGTAATCCCAGCTACTCAGGAGGCTGAGGCAGGAGAATTGCCCGAACCCAGGAGGCAGAGGTTGCGGTGAGCCGAGATGGCGCCATTGCACTCCAGCCTGGGTAACAAGAGCAAAACTCTGTCTAAAAAAAAAAAAAAACACACACACACACAAATTAGCCAGGCGTAGTGGCATGCACCTGTAATCCCAGCTACTCCGGTGGCTAAGGCAGGAGAATTGCTTGAATCAGGGAGTTGGTGGTTGCAGTGAGCCAAAATCACGCCATTGTACTCCAGCCAGGGTGGAGGTTGCAGTGAGCCAAGATCAAGCCACTGCACTCCAGCCCAGGCAACAGAGCGAGACTCCATCTCAAAACTAAGAGTGTTTCGTAGTTTTGTAATATGAGCAACATTTAAGCCACTTAAAAGCATAAAATTACACCACGTTAACTTGAGTAACACTATTGGATTATGGGAGAACGTTCGAAATTTGCATTTTGCTTTGCCATTTATACAGTTGAGCCACCGTGCCCAGTGAGACACTTTCATTCCTGGACGTTCCTCGATTTCCTCTGCCAAATAAAATTCACACTGAATGAAATCTTTTTAACAGGCTGTTGACCTGAACAGCTAATCATGTTCAAAAGATAACGCATGAAATGGCCGAGTGCAGTGGCTCACACCTGTAATCACAGCACTTTGGGAAGCCGAGGCAGGTGGATCACCTGAGGTTGGGAATTTGAGACCAGCCTGATCAACGTGGAGAAACCCCGTCTCTACTAAAAATACAAAAAATTAGCTGGGCATGGTGGCACATCCCTGAAATCCCAGCTATTTGGGAGGCTGAGGCAGGAGAATTGCTTGAACCTGGGAGGCAGAGGTTGTGGTGAGCCAAGATTGCACTACTGCACTCCAGCCTGGGCTACAAGAGTGAGACTCTGTCTAAAATAATAATAATAATAATGCATGAAATGTGGGCTTAAAGTTTCTCATTGCTGGAAAGCAGGCCCTCTATTGCTCCACTGTCTGCCTATAATAAAACTGGAGAAATGTAAAACTCCTTAATGCCTGGAAATTTCTTTGATTTTTTTTTTAAGTTGAATTAGGAAAAAATATATATTAGATTCTCATTTGGTTCTCTACTATCTAACACTAGAGAGCTTAGGCACAAAGCCCACAAAACAATTGCAGAGACCTCTAGGACAAAAAACCACAGCTAAATGTCAGTGTTGAATTAAGATAAAAATAGAAAAGCTGGCCAGGTGCGGTGGCTCAAGCCTGTAATCCCAGCACTTTGGGAGGCTGAGGCGAGTAGATCACCAGGTCAAGAGATCGAGACCATCCTGGTCAACATGGTGAAACCCCGTCTCTACTAAAAATACAAAAAATTAGCTGGGCATGGTGGCGTGTGCCTGTAATCCCAGCTACTCAGGGGGCTGAGGCAGGAGAATTGCCTGAACCCAGGAGGCGCAGGTTGCAGTGAGCCGAGATCGCGCCATTGCACTCCAGCCTGGGTAACAAGAGCAAAACTCCGTCTCAAAAAAAAATAAAAATAAAAAAATAAAAAAATAAAAGCTGATTTTCCTTACATCAGGGTTTATTTTTAAAACTGGATATTCATTCAGAAGACTCAGGAGACAACAGAGGGGAAAGTAAAAAATTCTCTGAGATAATTGTTTTAAAGACCCTTCAGCCAGGCATGGTGGCTCATGCCTGTAATCCTAGCACTTTAGAAGGCTGAGGTGGGCGGATCACCTGAGGTCAGGACTTTGAGAGCAGCCTAGTCAACATGGTGAAACCTTTTCCCTACTAAAAACACAAAAATTAGCTGGGTATGGTGGTGGGTGCCCGGAATCCCAGCTACTCAGGAGGCTGAGGCAGAAGAAATCGCTTGAACCCAGGAGGCGGAGGTTGCAGTAAGCCAAGATTGCGCCATTGCATTCCAGCCCAGGCAACGAGAGCAAAACTCTCTCTTAAAAAAACAAACAATAACAACAACAAAACCCTTCCAGAGAGGCTTGAGAGTGTGTGTGTGTGTGTGTGTGTGTGTGTGTGTGTGTTTGTGTGTGTGGTGTGTGTGGTGTGTGTGTGGTGTGTGTGTGTGTGTTTCTATCCATGTATCTATCCATCCACATACCTACCTATCATCTTGCTGCCCAATCATTATTTACTGTTGATCTTTGTCTGCCTATAATGTTTACACTGATACCATGCAAACATGGTGATGGCTGGTAGCCAGAATTATAGTTGTTCCTGAACTCTACTTGTCATTTTCACAACTATTTCTGTCCCCTTATCTAGGCAGCTGAGTGTTTGCTGGCAGAAGCATCAGCAATGACTAAAACGTCTCTGGAAAATAGTGTCTGCCTAGAGAGCAATTCCTAACATGTGGTCAAAGCCTGGTTCTGCGAGCTTATTTTTTTTATGGTCTTCATACGTCCTGGGGAGCCAAGGCAAAGACCCATCAACCCAAAATAATAGTTGTCTTATAAATGTCCAAAGTTTCTGCCCTGTTACTTTCTCTGAATTCATCCATAAAAACAAGTAAGAAGGCCGGGCACGGTGGCTCACACCTGTAATCCCAGCACTTTGGGAGGCCGAGGCGGGTGGATCATGAGGTCAAGAGATCGAGACCATCCTAGTCAACATGGTGAAACTCCATCTCTACTAAAAATACAAAAAAAAAAAAAAATTAGCTGAGCATGGTGGTGCATGCTTATAATTCCAGCTACTCAGGAGGCTGAGGCAGGAGAATTGCCTGAACCCAGGAGGCGGAGGTTGCAGTGAGCCGAGATTGCGCCATTGCACTCCAGCCTGGGTAATAAGAGTGAAACTCCGTCTCAAAAAAAAAAAACAAAAAAACAAAAAACAAGTAAGAGATAGTATCTGAATCTAAAATTAAGCTGTAAAAATTCTGGCAATTAAACATATAATATAAAATGAATGAACTTGGCAGTTTTAGGTTCAAACAAAATTACTATGCCAAATCAATGTCCTCTCCACAAAGGAAAAAAAATATATTTAAAAAAGTAAGTTGCTCCTGAGCCAGAATGTGAAACAAAGCCCAATTGTAAGCAAGCAGGTTCCAAAATAGTCTGGGGTCCATGCTGACACCTGGATTTTAATGCGTAAATTTTCATGTGAGCCTGTGCAGTCAGGTGATGTCCCAGAGAAAGATGGTTCCCTTATCTCTGAGATTCATGACACAGTTTTGTACTGTTTGGGTTATCCTAATCTTGGCCCAAACTGAGAGTTTTTGTTTTTGTTTTTTGAGACAGCCTCACTCCATCAGGCTGGAGTGCAAGATACTGGCTGGGCACAGTGGCTCATGCCTGTAATCCCATCACTTTGGGATCCCAAGGCAGGAGGATCACTTGAATTTGAGATCAGCCTGGGCAACATAGTGAGACCTTGCCTCTAAAAAAAAATGAACAAAATTAGCCAGGCATGGTGGCTTGTGCTTATAGTCCCAGCTACTTGGGAGGCTGAGGTGGGAGGTCGAGGCTGCAGTGAGCCAATATTGCACCACTGCACTCCAGCATGGGTGAAAGAGTGAGACCCTGTCTCAAAACAAGACAAAACAAAGTAGATCTCCTCCCCTTGTCCAAGCCATACTTACGGATACATGCCAGGCTGCTCTGAGACAGCCACAAGTGCAGAGGACAAAATAAATTATTAGAAGACTCCCTGGAGCAGACATGAAGCACTTGGGGTCAGGCAGGACCTCCTGCCATCTAGGACTAGAGCTAGCTGGCAGCGGCTTTGCAGATCAGGGCTCTTCTGCAGAGGCTCAGGCTGCCATAGCAATGTGGCATCTCCAAAAAAAAATCATTTTGCCTCAGTAAAGTAAGACAAAAGGAGTCTTGGTTACAAATTGAAGTTATTCTTCCAGTCAAATTCCTGGACATCCGAGGGTTTCATCTTTGATTAGGAAGGCAGCAGTAACGACCATTAACCATCATCATCCCTCAACATAACCATAGGACCAGGATCATTGCTCCCTGCTAGCGTGGACCCTGCGGTGCTGCAGGCAGCAGGGGTAGGGAAGGAGGGCTTTAAAAAAAAAATGGGCTGAGTTTTAGGGAGGCCACAGCAAGAATAGTTAACAAGGTAAAGTAAAGCTTTATTTAAATGTGCAGGTCTAGAAAGGGTATGTGAACTGTTTATGACATATTTTCACTTTGTGGAAAAAAAAAGAGTGAGTTTTGTGAGCTTTTCCTTCTGGCATCTTAAGAGTAAAATAACCTATTTGCCCTCAACTGAGAAGGAACAGAGCAGAGCTGAGGCAGAAACCTGTTACTCGGCTGGGTGTGGCAGCCCATGCCTGTAATCCCAGCACTTTGTGAGACCAAGGCGAGCAGATGACCTTATGTCAGGAGTTCTAGACCAGCCTGGCCAACATGGCAAAACCCCATCTCTACTAAAAATGCAAAAATTAGCAGGGCATGGTAGCAGGTGCCTGTAAGCCAGTTACTCAGGAGACTGAGGCAGGAGAATCACTTGAACCCAGGAGGTGGAGTTTGCAGTGAGCTGAGATTGTGCCACTGCACTCCAGCCTGGGTGACAGAGCAAGACTCTGTCTCAAGAAAAATAAAAATAAAAGAAGCCTGTTACCCAAGAATGTGTGTGAGCCTCTAAGCCTGGGAGGAGCCCCGGCACACCATCCCTTCCCTGGCTCCCAGGGAAGAGGGAGCTTCACTTAATTTAGTTCTCAAGTATAGTATACTTCGAAGGAAGCAAAGGCTATTTTTAAAAAACATAAAATTTAAGAGTGGTGGGCCGGGCGCGGTGGCTCAAGCCTGTAATCCCAGCACTTTGGGAAGCCGAGTCGGGTGGATCACGAGGTCGAGAGATCGAGACCATCCTGGTCAACATGGTGAAACCCCGTCTCTACTAAAAATACAAAAAACTAGCTGGGCATGGTGGCGCATGCCTGTAATCCCAGCTACTCAGGAGGCTGAGGCAGGAGAATTGCCTGAACCCAGGAGGTGGAGGTTTCAGTGAGCTGAGATCGCACCATTGCACTCCAGCCTGGGTAACAAGAGTGAAACTCCATCTCAAAAAAAAAAAAAAAAAAAAAGTGGCATCCCATTTGCAAGCACTGATGTCAGGGAACACTGTGGCTGGGCCTGAAGGCAGATAGCTTCTGAGGGCCTCCTGTGGGCACAGTATTGAGTTTTCAGAGATGCCAAGACCTGCCTGAAATAACCAAGTTTCCATTCAATCTTCAGGAAAGAAATGGTGCAGAAGACAATTCTTGGGACACAAAGTCAAGACTCAGCAAAAATGATTTAAATTTTGAAGCGCTGATTAATCTGGTAAGCTAATTATTACATAATGTAAATTTACCATTGGTTTTGCTCCCGACAATGAAATTTCAGCCTTTTTTTCTGGTTAGTTCTTCATTTTCCTTGAAAATTTCTCTTTGGGGGATTTTTAAAAACCCTCAATGTAATCCCAGCACTTTGGGAGGCTGAGGCGGGTGGATCACGAGGTCAAGAGATCGAGACCATCCTGGTCAACACGGTGAAACCCCGTCTCTACTAAAAATACAAAAAATTAGCCAGGCATGGTGGCTTGTGCCTGTAATCCCAGCTACTCAGGAGGCTGAGGCAGGAGAATTGGCTGAACCCAGGAGGCAGAGGTTGCGGTGAGCCGAGATCACACCATTGCACTCCAGCCTGGGTAACAAGAGCGAAACTCAGTCTCAAAAAAAAAAAAAAAGAAAAACACCCTGAAATATAATTGGGGAGAATTCAGCCAGCAGACTTTTCTTTTAAATAAGCCCCAGACTGAAAAGTTGAGCCCCAAGGATAGCAGTGTAACATACTGGAGCAAAACCAATCTGTATGTTACTCCCTGACTTTCCTGTATGGTACTAGGATGCCTTTTAAAGAAATGGCACATGGACAAAGGCTCACAGTTTCTAATTAATCTAGCAACTTACAGTCTGACTTCAGAAGTTGAGTCTAATGAATCCAATGTCTAGGGCTCCGTCTTTCTGTGTAAAGTGTGGAGGAAGCTGCTGCCTCAGCAGAGGCTGGTCCCATCCTGTGTCATCCACGGCACTGCATGTGGTTTTATTTTCTTCAACACACAAACACATTTATTATCACCTTTCATTCTCAGAATCCTATAAAGGAGACATTCCTAGCCACATTACAAGGAACTAGAGTTAAGAAAGATTCCATGGGGGAAGAAAAAGTTAAATGGTTTCCCTAAGGCCAGACAACTGGGCAAGACAAATCTTAAGTCCTGCAGCCCCGAGCTCAGACTTGGGGCTCTATCCCGGCCCCAGACATCCTGGTTGTGTCTATCTGCTGCAGACAGTGCAGGCTGTGAACCCGAGGGCATGGGTGTTCGCTCACCCCAAACCCATCCCTAGGAACACCAAGGAAGAGTGTGTTTCCATCGAGCAGTGAATATGAGAGTTTCTCATCTATCGGTAATAATACCTGACAGTGGCTTTAAGATAACAACAAAGGGCTTGACAATGAAAATCTTAGTTCGAAATGATTAAAAACATTCAATAACTCCAATATTTAAAAATATATACATACGGCCGGGCACGGTGGCTCAAGCCTGTAATCCCAGCACTTTGGGAGGCCGAGGCGGGTGGATCACGAGGTCAAGAGATCGAGACCATCCTGGTCAACATGGTGAAACCCCGTCTCTTCTAAAAATACAAAAAAATCAGCTGGGCATGGTGGCGCGTGCCTGTAATCCCAGCTACTCAGGAGGCTGAGGCAGGAGAATTGCCTGAACCCAGGAGGCGGAGGTTGCGGTGAGCCGAGATCGCGCCATTGCACTCCAGCCTGGGTAACAAGAGCGAAACTCCATCTCAAAAAAAAAAAAAGAAAAAAAAAATATATATATATACACACATACAGAAATACACATACAATATTTAAAAATACATGAACTGTAAGCCAACTGCGAAGTGGGATGCAGATGTATTTTTTTTCTTCATTAGATATGTCTAAATAGGCATTCTATACAGACAATGTGTTTGGAAAATAAAAAAGAGTTTGGTAGCTCATGCTTGTAATCCCAGCACTTTGGGCAGCCAAGGCGGGTGCATTGCTTGAGCAGAGGACTTAGAGACCAACCTGGGCAACATGGCAAAACTCTGTCTCTACAAAAAAAAAAAAAAAAAAAAAAAAAAAAAAATTAGCCTGTTGTAGTGGCTATTCTGGTGGCTGAGGCAGGAGGTTGCTTGAGCCCAGGAGGTCGAGGCTGCAGTGAACTATGATTGTACCACTGCACTTCAGCCTGGGTGACAGAGGGATACCCTGTCTCAAAAAGAAAGAAAGAAAAAAAAAGAGTATATTTATAACATTTCAAATACAATGATTTCTCATTTGCCTCTTATTTTTACATTATAATTCCAGTGAATGCAATTATGGTTAATTCATCTCGGTGAAGCTCACATAGCATTACACATTTTTTTCATTTTAAACAAGACACTTATTTAAACAACAGGGTGTTTTACTTGAAGGAAAAACTATCTGGGAATCATTTTTATCAACTAATTGATCCTCACTTAAAGACAGATTGCCCTACATATAAGAGGTATGTATGAAAATGCTATAAAATAGCACTTTGTTTTTTGATGAAAAATGAGAAACATTAGCATTCTCCAATTGAACAAGGTATGCAAGAATTTATATATATGTATATGTTATTGTTGTTAAAACAGTGAGAGCAAAATAACAGATTGGAATGTAAAGATAACAGCTGAATCAGCATGCCATGGAGGGAGAAAGGAGGCTTTTTTTTTTTTTTTTTTTTTTTTTGAGACGGAGTCTCACTCTGTCACCCCAGGCTGGAGTCAGCTCACTGCAACCTCCGCCTCCCAGGTTCAAGTGATTCTCTTGCCTCAGCCTCCTGAGTAGCTGGGATTACAGGTGTGTGCTACCATGCCCAGCTAAGTTTTGTATTTTTGGTAGAGATGGGGTTTCACCATGTTTGTCAGGCAGGTCTCGAACTCCTGACCTCAAGTGATCTGCCTGCCTTGGCCTCCCAAAGTGCTAAGATCACAGGCATGAGCCACTGCGCCTGGACAAGGAGGTCTTTTCACAGAAGCATTTTTCCCCTTCTCATCTCCATTTGATGTTGATCAACGCATACTACTCACCACTACTTTTTAAAAAATGCTTGTGTACATTCATCAGTTACCTTATATACAATAGAGGAATAGGGAAGGAAATGAAAGAATAAAGAGAACTATACTGTAGTAGGTAGGATGCAGTGGAACAAAATAGCAGTTCTCTAGTTGAGAACGCACTCTTGGTCTGCTAGAAGAGCCTCTAAAGTAGCAGGTTCTCTTTTTAGTGGACCCCTCCCATCTGCTGCTGAAACACATCAATTGCATCTGCAGCCTCCAGTTCCAACTCTGCAGGTGTGTCTGTTTCATTGACTAGCCATCTGACAAATGGAATCTGATCTGCCTCATTGACAAGCCCTGTTATTTCCAATAGGCTTTCATTAGTTTACTAAGTGATGTATGTCTGTTCATCTTAAATTGCACCAAGGAGCCATCCTGCCCACCACCTTAAAATTAATGTGGGCAGTTCTGACTCCCTCCTTGAGCTTTTTGTTCACCATGGTGAGTGCTGGAGTCACCTTCAGGTCCACACTGAATGAGCACACAAGTAGCACCAGGAGTGACAGCAGCAGTATTGTCATATTTTACTGGGGGCAGTGTGGGGTATACTTAGGGCTGGAGGGAAAATATTAATTATTCTAGGCTCAGATTGAAGGACATTATGTTTTTAAAATTTAGGTACTATAAATTTTCTGGTATAAAGATGCTCATTTTATAGCTTTTGAAATATACAGGTAAAAGAAAAAAATTACCTAGTACCAGCAATAAAAATTAATTTATCTCTCTATATGAACATAGCACACACAACATCAGGGTATGGAATTTCCTTAGGCCAGTGTATGGTTTTTGCCTCTGCATTAAAAAATAAAACAAGAGTTGGAAACATAGGAAAGCAGCACATCTGGCAACCTGGCTAAACAGGAGAGACAGGCTTATGGCTCAAAGCCTATCCTTAATACTGAAGGTAGATCCTACTACTAAAAGAGGAGCATATGCTTCAGTTATTTCATATGTCAGTTGGAGAAGCAAATTAGCTAATAATGAGAAGGCGTCTTCACTGGTTCTTGCTGTTGCAACAGAACACTTAAGACTGGGTAATTTACAAAGAACAGAAATTCTCTATGGAGTCTGGGAAGTCCAAGATCAAGGTGCTGGCATCTGTCAGGGGCCTTCTCTTGGAGTCCTCACATGGTGGAAGGCAAGAGAGGACCAACTTCCTCTGCCAAGCCCCTTTATAAGGGTACCTGATCCCATTCATGAAGGAGGAGTCCTCATGACCCAGTCACCTTTTCACGGCTCTACTTCTTAATACTATCACATTGCTAACACGTGAGTTTCAGAAGGGAGCCATTCGAACTGTAGCAAAGGGCCAGCTCATTTCAGTTCTTCTGTCTGCAGGATAATCAATAAAACACTACTGGGAAAAAGAAATAGGAAAACAAACAAGGGTAGACAAGCCAAAGGCTTCCTCACTAGACTGTAACCTCCACGAAGACAGGACTCCGTCTTGTTCCCATCATTACATGGCCAGCAACAGCATAAGACACCTAATATGGATTTAGATGGACAGATGGATAAAAATAAACTTTCAAACTGCCTTCCTTTAGATCCAAGATTAAAAATCTCCTCTCTACTTGGGCGTCAGGCTAGCCTGATGGGAGAGGGGCTCTTTGGCAATCCTGGGGAAAAGTGATGGACAGCAGTGTCTTCCACAGCCCCCTGTGAATTCCCCTTCAACCTGCATAGCACAAACCAGCAAAAGGGGATCTCCATGTAGCTGCCTGACTGCTCAGCACTTCCACTTCTCTATCACTGACTTTCAGGCTTCTGGAGGCTATAAGCCTGAGAAGAATCACTGCACTTCTTCTGTGAGTTCTTAATCCTTCTCTACAGGAGAGAATGCTCCAGAAAGACTCAGCAGAAAAGCGAACTAGAGTTGTCAGGGAACTCTTACAGAGTGAGAGAAAATATGTGCAGATGCTGGAGATTGTGAGAGATGTTTATGTCACACCACTGAAAGCAGCACTGTCATCAAACAGAGCAATTCTGAGTGCTGCCAATATCCAGATCCTCTTCTCTGATATTCTGCGGATTTTAAGTCTCAACAGGTAAACTATGAATATATGCTTTTTAAAATATTCACTGTGCACTGAGAAGCCCATGCTTTGTTGTTTCAAAAGCAGTCTGGAGGTGCAGTGATTCTCTGCCCCTCTTGGGGACCCTGATTACAGTGGAGAGATCCTCATTACATTACCTTCTGGGCTACAACCGGTATTGATTCCCAAGGACAGCCCTTCCCCCATTCATAGCCATGGTGCAGGGAGTGGAGCTCAGGACCTAGGCATTTTATAACCCAGTGGTCCCCAACCCTTTTGACACCAGGAACCAGTTTCATGGAAGACAATATTTACACAGACTAGGGGTTGGGGGAATGGTTTCAGGAGGATTCCAGCACGTTACATTTATTGTGTAATTTATTTCTATTATTATTACATTGTAATATATAATGAAATAATTATACAACTCATCATAATGTAAACCAGTGGGAGCCCTGAGCTTGTTTTCCGGCAACTAGATGATCTCATCTTGGGGTGGTGGGAGACAGTGACAGATCATCAGGCATTAGATTCTCATAAGGAGCACACAACCTAGATCCCTTGAATGTGCAGTTCACAATAGTGTTTACACTCCTGTGAGAATCTAATGCCACTGCTGATCTGACAGGAGGTGGAGCTCAAGCAGTAATGTAAGCAATAGGGAGTGATTGTAAATATCAATGAAGCTTTGCTCACTCAACCGCCACTCACCTCCTGCTATGTGGCCTGGTTCCTAACAGGCCATGGACCAGTACTGGTCCATGGAGGAAAGCCATATGTTAATTCTTAATCAGCAATGCTCAGTTAAGCAATGGGAAAAAAACAGAAAGCTTTAACGGGATTAAGCCACCAGGACACTTAGCTTAGAAAGCCCAAGGCTGGGGGTCAGTTTAATAACAACATGTACATATATATATATATATATATATATATATATATATTTTTTTTTTTTTTGAGACAGAGTCTTGCTCTGTCACCAGGTGCTAGGATGGAGTACAGTGGCGCAGTCTTGGCTCACTACAACCTCCGCCTCCTGGGTTCAAGCAATTCTCCTGCCTCAGCCTCCCGGGTAGCTGGGACTACAGGCACATGCCACCACACCCAGCTAATTTTTTTTTTTTTGTATTTTCAGTAGAGACGGTGTTTCACCATGTTGGTTAGGATGGTCTCAATCTCTTGACCTCGTGATCCACCCGTCTCGGCCTCCCAAAGTGCTGGGATTACAGGCTTGAGCCACCGCGCCCGGCCAATAACAATGTATTTTCAAGTTCATAACACGAAAGAGAAAAGTGATCATTTCTGCCTGTGGTAAAGGAAGGCAACCTGAGTATGTCTTCTCTGATGGTAATTCTCTAGGTAACCCGGAACAAGTTCCCTCTCCTCAATGGACCCCAGCTCCTACCAAGCGAAGAGGTTGAAGCAGGCCTCTTCCAGTGTTCACGGCCTGTGATGGATGAATGAGGGATTTTCTTAGAGCCATGGGGAAATGGGCCAAGCAGGGGTTATGGCATTCAGCTTTTGGAGACAGTGGAGCACTCTGCTCTAAATACTGTAAGAGCTTTCACCCACCTGCTATCTGGAGACAAGAGAACGGGACATTAGGTAGCAGCTGCATTGTGGCCAGTGTGTGGTTCTGACCCAAGGAATCGAGGTGAAGAGGTGGGATTCTACCCAGCCAGCCTACTTCTTCATGTCCCAGTTCCCCTTTCCTGTCAAATCTGCACTTCTCTGTGTTAAGAAGAAATGACTTGACCAAAACCCTACTGTAAAGGACTAGGCTGAAAATGCTTGCACTAATGACAATGGATATTTGGGTTTATAAGTTATCACAAATTAATATTTCATACTTACGCTTTTCTCATACCGCAGGCAGTTTCTAGATAACCTGAGAGACAGACTGCAGGAATGGGGCCCAGCTCACTGTATTGGAGAAATAGTCACAAAGTTTGGAAGCCAGTTGAACACATATACCAATTTCTTCAACAATTACCCTGTCGTTCTGAAAACTATTGAAAAGGTAAATGAGTTTCAATCCCATCATTCTATGAGATCTGAGCTAGAAAGGAAGTTATGTGTGGGACCCAAAAGACTAGCGTTAATAAGAAAGGCTTCTCTTCTCTTAGCTCCCAGCTCTCTTCCCATATACTGTGACCTCTGAGGACAGGAGCGCTGACTTAGGGGCTAGCAAGATATTTGCCACACAGCATTACCAGTAATTGGTTCTTGAACTGAACTAATCCTCATACAAGTTCTCGGGCTTTCACTTGCCCAGATACCTTCAGCTTACAGGAAAATGCTCAACAGTTGAGCTTGGAATCCACTCTGCTACTACAATCCTGTGTGTCCTTGACAAGTTCACTCTCTCATGTAGAAAATAAATGAATTATCCACATCTTTCTTGGAAGAACAATTAATTTATGAATGTCACTATGAAGTAAGAAGTGTCTTGGTCTTACATTTCCTAGAGAGTAAATTATTAACAGTTTTCTTTGTTGCGATTTCTGCCATTATTTATTTATTATTTCTTTTTGAGATGGAAGTTTCACTCTTGTTTCCCAGGTTGGAGTGCAATGGTGTGATCAGCTCACCACAACCTCCGCCTCCCGAGTTCAAGAGATTCTCGTGCCTCAGCCTCCCAAGTAGCTGGGATTACAGGCATATGCTACCATGCCCAGCTAATTTTTGTATTATTAGTAGAGATGGGGTTTCTCCATGTTGGTGAGGCTGGTCTTGAACTCCTGACTTCAGGTGATCTGCCCTCCTTGGCCTCCCAAAGTGTTGGGATTATAGGTGTGAGCCACTATGCCTGACTAATTTCTGCCATTATTTAATCTGAGCAGGAATATGCAGTTCCCTTCTGTACCATTTGCTGCTCTTGTTGGGATATCTTCTGATGGGAATAAAATCCCTCTTTCTTCCCCTCTTAGTTGGTATCGAAAGCCTAGAAAAGGCTACCTTGTCACATGGCAGCACACTTCTGCCAGAGTCCACTGTGGCCTTGTCTTCACTGAGGCCCTGCAGGAAAGGCCTGCGGGGTGGGAGGCCTCTGGAGGGCTCCTGCCTTTGGACAGCTTCCTTTGTAGTATTCCTTCTACCCCACCCAGGGAGTCTAGTCACTGCTGGACAACTTCATGATTCAAAAGTTAGATAAATAAGGTAATGTCTTACAACTGACTGGTAATACAAGAATTGGAGCAAAGCATGACACGGTATCTGGGAATTTTTATAGCTATAGATAACGATGCCTATTTCACTAGCACAGTGTGTGCATACAAGTAAGTACTTAGCTTGAATGTTAGCTATTTGGTTGTGGGGTTTTTTTTTTGAGACAGGGTCTCCCTCTGTCACCTAGGCTGAAGTGCAGTGGTGTGATCACAGCTCACTGCAGCCTCGACTTCCCCAGACTTAGGTTATCCTCCCACCTCAGCCTCCCAAGTAGAAAGGACTACAGGTGTGTGCCACTACATCCGGCTAATTTTTTTGTATTTTTTTGTAGAGATGGGTTTTACCAGATTGCCCAGGCTGGTCTTAAACTCCTAGGCTCAAGCAATCCATCTAACTCTGCCTCCTAAAATTCTGGGATTACAGAGGTGAACCACTATGCCAGCCAATGTTAGCTATTAATATGACTGAAATCCACGAATATTTGCTTGGTCTTAGCCAAAAGTCTGAGAATGAAATCAGTGAATATTTGATTTCTAGAAGTTAGCAGTGTTGAATCTTTTAGGCACGGAATAAAAGGTAACTTCAGGGCCGGGCGCGGTGGCTCAAGCCTGTAATCCCAGCACTTTGGGAGGCCAAGGCGGGTGGATCACGAGGTCAAGAGATCGAGACCATCCTGGTCAACATGGTGAAACCCTGTCTCTACTAAAAATACAAAAAATTAGCTGGGCATGGTGGTGTGTGCCTGTGATCCCAGCTACTCAGGAGGCTGAGGCAGGAGAATTGCTTGAACCCAGGAGGCGGAGGTTGCGGTGAGCCAAGATCGTGCCATTGCACTCCAGCCTGGGTAACAAGAGTGAAACTCCATCTCAAAAAAAAAAAAAAAAAAAAAAAAAGGTAACTTCAGAGGTGTTCTAATAGTGATAAATGAATACCTTTTAAAATAGATATTAACCGTATCTGAGTCACGGCACCAAAGAAAATAAAAATAAAAGTAAAATAAAATAGATATTAAGGCTGGGCTTGGTGGTGGCTCAGGCCTGTCATCCCAGCACTTTGGGAGGCTGAAGCAGGTAGATCACCTGAGGTCAGGAGTTTGAGACCAGCCTGGCCAGCATGGCAAAACCCTGTCTCTACTAAAAATACAAAATTAGCCAGGCACAGTGGTGGGCACCTGTAATCCCAGCTACTTGGGAGGTTGAGGCAGGATAATCACTTAAACCTGGGAGGCAGAGGTTGCAGTAAGCCAAGATCACGCTACTGCACTCCAGCCTGGGTGACAGAGCCAGGACTCTGTCTCAAAAACAAACAAATCAAAACAGATATTAAGTACAGTGGAACACCTGTATAATAAACATCACTATGGAAAACATAACAGAAATATTAAAAGTGAATACCATTAACAGTTAAGATCTTACAATATTGAAGTAACAGTTACTGTGTGACAGGCACTTTATGGGTAGGATGTTTTTTCCCCCACACCACAAGCATTAGAGATGGTATCCATGTTACAGATGAGAAAGCTGAGGCTCAGAAAAGTTAAGTAATTTGACAAGTTTATATACTCAATGTATTCTAATTTGTAAAGTACATTCTTATTTGTCTGTGTGATTAAGTTCAATGGATAGGTTCGGGTCTGTGTATAATTAACACACATTCTTATTAGGAAGACACCAATGGCATTACTAATAGTTTGACTGGTTAGACATAGATGTTGCCCTTTTGCTTCAGGCATTCCATAGATCACACTTGCTCAGTGGAACAGTGGACTTTACAACTATCTCATAAAATTTTGACAATATAATCCTCACCTTTTAGTGCAGAGAAATGATACCAGCCTTCCGAACTTTCCTGAAGAGGCACGATAAGACCATTGCTACCAAAATGCTGAGGTATGTTCTGAGGGAGAGCAGAGCAGGTCTCCCCCACCCCTCTGCCCCAGACAGGGTATTCTTGGGCCTTCAGAGACCAGAGTTCTCTTCTCTATGCCTTGTACAGTCTGCCAGAACTGCTGCTGTACCCATCACGAAGATTTGAAGAATACCTTAATCTTCTCTATGCTGTCAGGCTTCATACTCCTGCTGAGCATGTTGACCGTGGGGACTTGACCACTGCAATTGACCAAATAAAAAAATATAAAGGTTATATAGATCAGGTTGGTTGCTGATAAGAATCTGTGTCCTTAAAAATGTTATAGAGCTTTTGTGGCACTCCCACTCAGAGATCCTAGATACCTTATCTTCTTGTGGTGTTTTTTGCTTTGAAGTCTTTCATCCTTTTAGTGCTAAATCAATAGTTGTGTTCGGTGATTTCCAACACTAAGGGCATCTATTCTAAGCCAAGCAACATGAGACAATGTTTTCAGATTTTTGTAAATTTTTTTTTTTTTTTTTTTTTTTTGAGACGGAGTTTCGCTCTTGTTACCCAGGCTGGAGTGCAATGGCGCGATCTCGGCTCACCGCAACCTCCGCCTCCTGGGCTCAGGCAATTCTCCTGCCTCAGCCTCCTAAGTAGCTGGGATTACAGGCATGCACCACCATGCCCAGCTAATTTTTTGTATTTTTAGTAGAGACGGGGTTTCACCATGTTGACCAGGATGGTCTCGATCTCTTGACCTCGTGATCCACCCGCCTCAGCCTCCCAAAGTGCTGGGATTACAGGCTTGAGCCACCGCACCCGGCTAATTTTTTTTTTTTTTTTTTTTTTTTTTTTTTTTTTTTTGAGATGGAGTCTTGCTCTGTCACCAGGCTGAAGTACAGTGGCATGATCTCAGCTCACTGCAACCTCTGCATCCTGCGTTCAAGCAATTCTCCAGCTTCTGCCTCCCAAGTAGCTGAGACTATATGCACGAACCACCATGCTCAGCTAATTTTTTTGTATTTTTAGTAGAGACATGGTTCCACCATGTTGGCTAGGATGGTCTTGATCTCCTAACCTTGTGATCCACCCGCCTCAGTCTCCCAAAGTGTTGTGATTACAGGCATGAGCCACTGTGCCCAGCCTACAATAAAATTTTTATGTAAGTTTGAAGAATGAAATACTTGGACTGATTTTTTTATTTTTGTAACTAAAAGGCAAAAAAAAAAATCCTTTGTTTCTGAAAGTACTTTCAATGCATGAATTAGCTTTCCTGCCTTAGTGAGTACAATGGTCATAATTATTCTCTGAGGAAGTAATTAAGTAGTTTGGAGTACAGTACTATCATTCTGAAAATATCATTTTATTGTGCATACTGTTAACAGGCATCTAGGCCGAATGTAAGCTACTAACACATTTTTTCCGTGAAGATACCTTTTTGCATACAGTTTTGTCATTTGCCTTTGTTTTAAAACACTAGGTACAAAAAATTTGATTTTTTTTTTTTTTTTGAGACATGGTCTGGTTCTGTTACCAAGGCTTGATTATAGTGGTGCAATCTCGGCTGATTGCAACCTCTGCCTCCCTGGTACAAGCAATCCTCCCATCTTAGTCCTCCGAGTAGCTGGGACCACAGGCACAAGCCACCATGCTCGGCTTTTTTTTTTTTTTCTCATAGAGACAGGTTTTCATCATGTTGCCCAGGCTGGTCTTGAAATCTTGAGCTCAAGCTATCAACCTACTTCAGCCTCCCAAAGTGCTGGGATTACAAGTGTGAGCCACCACACCTGACCCAGAATTTTGAAACTTTCTATTATAACATGTGAAAATACCAAGCCCTATATCAAGTGCCATAAAATATTTTAAACTATTTCTTTTATGAATAAAAATGTCACAATTTTGGTTTGCCTAAAAGTACTTTTTTCCCCCTAGATGAAGCAAAACATCAATATGAAAGATCATCTGTCAGATATACAGAGAATCATCTGGGGATGCCCTGTATGTATTCTTAGGAACTTGCTCTATCTCATGCTCATGAATACAACCTCCAGTCATTGGCAAAAGAAGACCTACAGATCCCAAGGCAGCTACCATTTGTGGAATGCCTGCTACATGTCAGGCACTACCATGCTCTTCCATTTCACATTTTTCTTTTTTCTTTTTTTTTTTTTTTTGAGACGGAGTTTCGCTCTTGTTACCCAGGCTGGAGTGCAATGGCATGATCTCGGCTCACCGCAACCTCCGCCTCCTGGGTTCAAGCAATTCTCCTGCCTCAGCCTCCTGAGTAGCTGGGATTACAGGCATGTGCCACCACGCCCAGCTAATTTTTTGTATTTTTAGTAGAGACGGGGTTTCACCATGCTGACCAGGATGGTCTCAATCTCTGGACCTCGTGATCCACCCGCCTTGGCCTCCCAAAGTGCTGGGATTACAGGCTTGAGCCACCGCGCCCGGCCCATTTCACATTCTTATCTGCAAGGTTGCTTTATAAAAAGAGGCACAGTGAGCTTGCCCGGATCCCATAACTTTTCAGCATTCTTTGCTCCTTTATTGCTATGATCATGATGCCCTTTGAGGAAAGGGGCCATGTGTTCTACTTGTTTTCTATCTCCCTACAGTACCTGGTGCAGGATTCTGCACACTGATGGTATCTGAAGAAGCTGTAGAAGGCCTGTGTTAGCTACCTGTTAACCTATAGAATATCATCTGGCCCCACCCTCCCTTATCACTTACAGTTTCCAACTTCCCTAAAGCCATACCACACAGATCTACTCATGATTCTCTAATGTTAACCTCTCCTCACACATCTGTGCTTTGCACATACTCTTTCTTCTCTGAAATTGCCTTTCCTATTCCACTGGCTAAACTCCTATTCATTCTATAAAAATCTAGTTCAGGCCGGGCGCGGTGGCTCAAGCCTGTATTCCCAGCACTTTGGGAGGCCGAGGCGGGTGGATCACGAGGTCGAGAGATAGAGACCATCCTGGTCAACATGGTGAAACCCCATCTCTAATAAAAATACAAAAAATTAGCTGGGCATGGTGGCTCGTGCCTGTAATCCCAGCTACTCAGGAGGCTGAGGCAGGAGAATTGCCTGAACCCAGGAGGCGGAGGTTGCGGTGAGCCGAGATCGAGCCATTGCACTCCAGCCTGGGTAACAAGAGTGAAACTCCGTCTCAAAAAAAAAAAAAAAATCTAGTTCAATCGTCATCTCCTTTGCAAAGTTTCCCCCAGCATTTCCATCTGTGAGTGGCTTCTTCCTAGGGATTTTGCATCCTGAATAACCCTGTTACATTTTACTGCAATCCTTTCTTCACAAAACTAGGAGCTTCATCATGTGTGAGCTATGATTTACTTGCCTTCTTGTGTCTGGCACATAGGAGGAGCTCAGGGTGTAAGCTATGTTGAATTAAAGTATCAATTGATTAGAAATGTTATTTTTATTTGGTCAAATTGGGGAAGCAAGATGAAGTTGTTTTGTCATAATTTTGGCCTGCACATTTTGTAGGGAAAGATAATTGAGGTTGATTGGATTGCAAAGATCCAAATTCTTGAAATTCTCAGGGTTAACAAAACTCTGTCTCTGAATCACTGTTCACACCAAGAGATCATCCCCATGACTAGATCAATATAAAGGCTTGACTTCTTATTCCGTACTAATTCATTCACTTCTTTTCCTTTTCTTTTTTCTTTTTGAGATGGAGTCTCACTCTGTTGCCCAGGCTGGAGTGCAGTGGCATGATCTCAGCTCACTGCAACTTCCGCCTCCAGGGTTCAAGCAATTCTCCTGCCTCAGCCTCCCAAGTAGCTGGGACTACAGGTGCGCACCACCACATCCAGCTAATTTTTTTGTATTTTTAGTAAAGACAGTGTTTCACCATGTTGGCCAGACTGGTCTCCAACTCCTGAGCTCAGGTGATCCACCTGCTTCAGCCTCCCAAAGGCATGAGCCACCGAGCCGGATCACTTCTTATTCTTAATAGCTCCCTTTTTTTTTTTTTTTTTTTTTGAGACAGAGTCTTGTTCTGCTGCCAGCCATCAGGCTGGAGTGCAGTGGCGTAATCCGTGATCTTGGCTCACTGCAACCTCCGCCTCCCGGGTTCAAGCAATTCTCCTGCCTCAGCCTCCCGAGTAGCTGGGACTACAGATGCGTGCCACCATGCCCAGCTAATTTTTGTATGTTTATTAGAGATGGTGTTTCACCATGTTGGCCAGGATGGTCTTGATCTCTTGACCTTGTAATCTGGCCGCCTCGTTCTCCCAAAGTGCTGGGATTACAGGCGTGAGCCACCGCGCCTGGCCAATAGCTCCCTTCTTATCCCCCAGCCCCCAACTTTGTTTCTGATATTAGGAAAGCACTTACCGCCCTCCACCAACAAAGGAAAGCACTTACAACTAAAACTATAAATTCAGTAGTTTTAAAACTTTGAAAAAAATTATTTTTTCCCTTAAATATAGTTTTGTCAATATTCTAAGAAAGCCTGTTTCATAAACAGTGAAAACATTAACTTCTTCATACTTGAACTGTGTTTTAGTTAACATTTGCATATTATGGGATATAAAATGATTCGTAGTGAGATTTATTTATTTAAAAGAAATTTATATGTGCTTCTAATTTTGTTTTTGATTTTATAGACTCTCTCAGAAGTAAACAGATATCTGATTAGGGTCCAAGATGTAGCCCAACTTCATTGCTGTGATGAAGAAATAAGTTTCTCTTTAAGGTAAACAGCAGTTAACTATCCTAAGGCTGTGAACACCTTACAAGCAATGACTGTCTTACTCATCCTGTAGCCCCGCATTCAGTACAATGTCTGGCACAGTAGGTTTGAGATAAATCTATGCATTGGACTGAAAAGTTACAAACAACTCCCTCGGGGATACTGTAGGGTATTTTATCACCATGTTCACCTTCTAGCCAGCTGCTGGGTAGAATGGGAGAAATAAATTGTTTCTGCCAGAACCACAAACTCCACATAAGCAGGCATTCTGAAGGTTGGCCACTTGTTTGTTTGTTTGTTTGTTTGTTTTTTGAAATGGAGTCTGACTCACTGCTGCCCAGGCTAGAGTGCTGTGGTGCAATCTGGGCTCACTGCAACCTCCACCTCCAAGCAGTTCTCCTGCCTCAGCCTCCAAAGTAGTGAGATTGCAGGCACTCGCCACCATAACCAGCTAGTTTTTGTATTTTTAGTAGAGACAGGGTTTCACCATGTTGGCCAGGTTGGTCTCAAATACCTGATCTCAAGTGGTCCACCTGCCTCAGCCTCCCAAAGTGCTGTGATTACAGGCATGAGCCACCACACCTGGCCACTTTTCTACTTTGGTAAGCTCCAAGTGTTGTGGGATTTTAACACCAATGATCGGCTCAACTGTAAGAAAAGGAGGACCAATTTATTATCCTCAGACAGTTATTGAGGTCAGTTTTTTAAATGACCTTATGCTATTTAGTTTGTACAATGCTCAGAGTGGCATAAAAAAAAAAGATAGAAAGATGCTAATTTTTATAAATTAGTATCCCCTTCACTGCTTTAGAACAAGGATGGGCAAACTTTTCTATAGAGGTTCACATAGTAAATATTTCAGATTTTGCTGGCCAAAGGATGCCTGTGGCAACTACCCAACTTTGCTATTGTAAAACAAAAGCAGCTATATCAATGACAACACATAACAAATAATACACTATTCATAAACAGTACAAGATCTAAATGAACAAATTTGACTATGTTCCAATTAAACCTCATTTGCAAAAACAGGGGTGGGCCACAGTGTGCTAATAATCTCTGCTTTAGAAAACTGTTCATCAAACTATGAATAAAATAATAGAAATAAAATAAATAACAACAGAATAAAATTCTATTCTCAAACATTCTTCCTTTCTTTACACAAGTTTGATTTTCAGTATTAATGACAGAGTGACTCAACAAACAGCTACCAAAGGGAGGGGAATTAACTTAATTTGTTCAACTCCAATAAACGTAATAAAAATTGATTTATTTCAATGAATATTTGAATAAATGTTCCTCAAAGGCACAGGATAGCAGGGTAGGGAGAAGAAATCAGTCCCCTCACCTCCATCTTCACCTAGACTAGATCTTAAATGAAAATCAAATCACACAATGTATCACTTTTCTCATTGTCATGACATTTTTGTTTTCTTTGATCTTGGTGTTTTGGTTAGTAGCAATAGAAGAGAGCTACAATGATGGAAAGAAACTAGCTACCAAACTCAATTCTAAACACGCTGGTTTGGTAGAAGACATTCTATGATTTCCAGTTTTTGATTATTAGATTATTCTACATTCGTGTATTCTTTCTCAAACATCCCTCCTTTCTTTACGTCAGTTTGATTTTCTATATCATTTTCCTTCTCTCTGCAGAACTTCTTTTAACCTTTCTTAATGTTCTAACTAAGGTCTATTGGCAATAAATTCCCTCAATATTTTTGTGTGTAAAAAATTTATTCTTCATGTTTGAAGGAAATTTGGCTGGATACAGAATTCTAGGTTGCTGGGTTTTTTTTCTTTTAACACGTTGCTTATTTCATTCCACACTTTTCTTACTTACATGGTTTCTGAAGAGAAGTCCAGCATTATTTTTATCCTTATTCCTCTATAGGTAATGTAAACCAACCATAAAATTCTAAGCCCCCCCACAGCCGACTGAATGGACTCCTCTGGACCAAGAGAATTCAAGTAAATCCGAAAAACTAGTTCAGGCCATGACAGGAGGTGGGGATTGGACATGTCTCATTATATTCTCCTCCCTGAAGAATTCAGGAGCTCCCCTCCCCCCGTCCTTCCCCCGCTTCCCCGCCTAGGGAAAAAAAAAAAAAGAATTCAGGCACAACTGACCAATATTAGCATTACAACAGAGATCTTAAGACTGATAAAATGAACTCCCTGTAGAAATAAGATACCAAATTCCAACCCAACTCTAGTATAGTATCACATGACAGATAACAGACACTGAAATAAATCAGAGTATTTTACCTCAAAATATATTTCTCTGACATATTTTGAAATGGCCCCGAAAAGTCATCTCTTTTGGAGAAAATTTCCATTCTGTAGAGAATCTCCTCTTTCCAGGTCTTTTTCTGATCCAGGAGAGATTCAGCTAAGAGAATGGTATCTGTTAAGGTCTGATAAGAGACATTTACCATCTATTCTTCCTGAAGCCTACTACCTGGAGCCTTCATCTACATAAGAACGTTAGTCTCCACAATCCCTTATCTAAAGCCTGACACTCCTTTCAACACTGATTCCAGACCTTTAGATTTTAACTCTTTCAACCCATTACTAATCAAAAAAGCTTTTGAATATGCCCATGACCTGAAAGCCCTTACTTCAAGTTGTCCTATCTTTCTGGAACGAATGAATTTATACCTTACATGTATTAATTGATGTTTGCCTGTATAACTTCTGTCTCCCTAAAATGTATAAAATCAAGCTGTCACCCAACCTTCGGCACATTTTCTTAGGACTTCTTGAGACTGTGACTCAGGCCCTGGGCACTCATATTTGGCTCAGAATAAACCTTTATTTTACAGAGTTTGACTTTTTGTTGTAAGGTGGGTTTTTGTTTTTTTATTATCTGAAATGACAAAGATTTTCTATTTGTCTTTTATTTTCTACATCTGAATGTACTATGCCTAGGTATAGTTTTTCCTTTTTGGGGGTGGGGGGAAGTATCTATCCTGCTTAGTGTTCTTCGAGCTTCCTGGACCTATGGTTTTCTGTCAATTATTTTGTAAAATCTCCAGCCATTATTACTCCAAATATTTCTTCCTTTCTTCTTCATCTGATATTCCCATTATGCATATGATTTGCCTTTAGTAACTGTCCCTATTACCTGGATATTCTGTTCCTTTCCCCGGTAGTCCCTACCCGTTACCCCGACTTTGTCCCTGGTCTTTTTTCTGATTTTCAGCTTGGCAAGTTTCTACTGACATATCTTCAAGCTCACTGATTCTTTCCTCAACTGCGTCCAGTGTATTAATGAGCCTACCAAAGGCATTCATTTCTGTTATATTTATTTCTGGTATTACCTTTTCTTTCTTAGAGTTTTGGTCTCTATTCTTACATTACCTATCTGTTCTTGTATGTTGTCCACTTTTTCCATTAATGCCCTTAAGTTTCTGGTCTGAATAATTCCAAAACCTCTACTATATCTGAGTCTGGTTTTGATGCTTATCCTTTCTCTTCAGTCTGTGTATTTTGCTTCTTAGCACCCCTGATTTTTTTTTTGAAAGGAGCCTCTGTCACCCAGGCTGGAGTGCAGTGGTGTGATCTCAGCTCACTGCAGCCTCCACCTCCTGGGTTCCAGCAGTTCTTCTGCCTCAGCCTCTTGGGTAGCTGGGATTACAGGCACACACCATTACACTGGCTAATTTTTAAAATTTCAGTAGAGATAGGGTTTCACCGTGTTTGCCAGGCTGATCTCAAACTCCTGACCTCAAATGATCCACCTGCCTTGGCCTCCTAAAGTGCTGGGATTACAGGTGTGAGCCACCATGCCTGGCCAGAATAAGGATATATATATATATATATATATATATATATATATATATATATATATATATATAAACATAATATATATATATATATATATATAATAATATATATATATATATATTTTTTAAATCAGGTCTTCATTGCAAGAATCTAGTGGGCTCCTAGAGGCAAAACTCATACCAGTGTGCAAGCCCAAAGGTATTAAATTCCAAAGCTAGTCCACATTCTATCTCTAGCAACTAATCCAATACTCTTAAAGTATCCCTACTCCATGCAGGCACTTCCTGTTCCTGATAAGCTTTGATTCTTTGTAGCAGCCTATCATTCCAGCTTTTGGGATGAGTTTACCCTGCCACTTCAATTCTGTGACGGATTCTGAGTTCTTTAGCTCCTTTTAGTTGTTGTTGTGAGGACAGGACTGACAACTTCCAAGTTTTTTGCATGTGTTTTTTCATTTTTATTTATTTTTTGTTTTTCTGAGGCAAAGTCTTGCTCTGTCACCAGGCTGGAGTGCAGTGGTACAATCTCGAATCACTGCAACTTCTGCCTCCAGGGTTCAAGCGATTCTCCTGCTTTAGCCTCCTGAGTAGCTGGGACTACAGGTGCCCACCACCACACCCAGCTAATTGCTGTATGTTTAGTAGAGATAGGGTTTCACCATGTTGGCTAGGCTGGTCTTGATCTCTTGACCTCGTGATCCACTCACCTTGGCATCCCAAAGTGCTGGGATTACAAGTGTGAGCCCTAGCACTCAGCCTACAACTTCCAAGCTCTTTACATGTGGACTGGAAGCTCGAGGTCTAGTTATTAGAAATTAGACTTCTGTCTTCAGTATTTGGACAACAAATGAGAGTACTTTGAAGATTTAGGATAATCCAAAATTATTTTACACTCTAATTGTGAGGTACCTTTATATTTGAATAGGCACTGCTCTGAGCTATGAGAGGCCCAGAGAGACAAGAGTACAGACTCTTCAGTCACATCTCCCAGCCATGCCTGTCTGGGGGCAAGTGTTCCTGGGCTGCCTCATCCATTATCTTCACATTCCTGGAATTTGTGGACAAAGAACAATTACAGGCAATCAACAGCTTGTGCTATTTTAGTGTTAAATCTTGATAAACTCCGGAACTGTTCTTTAAAAATCCACTTGTAAATGCTACTTATTGGAGGGTATATTCCTGGTAATTGAATTTATGATCCAGGGTTGCAGTTCC